GTTCAATTTGCGATCGAAAATAAAAAAATTTTATTTGATAATTTTTGTACAACAAAATCCGACCGAAAAATGCAACCGACCGGAAATGAACAGGGCTATTATCTATCAAAAAACTTTTCAACCAACAAAATTTTCAAAAAAAACTCCTCTAATATAGAATGAATTCTCATCAAAAAAAACATCCCCTATTAAAGAAAAATTTCTAACGAAATCTTTCTTCAAAAAACAATTTCCCTATTGAAAAAATATTCCTACCTATTAAAAGAGTTCTCAAAAGTATTACCATATCAAAAAAAACTTCCCTCCTATTGAAAAAAATCTTTACCGAAATTCCTCTGTTGAAAAATTTCTAACGAAATGATCTATCAAAAAAAAAAATCTTTCCTATCAAAAAAAATTCTCTAACGAAATTCTCCACCAAAAAATATTTTCACCTATTAAAAAAAATTCTCAAAAGAAATTCTTTATCAAAAAAAAAGCACCCCTATATTAAAAGATAATCCTTTAATGAAATTCTTGAAAAATTTTCTAACAAAATTATCTATCAAGAAAAATCTTCCCTATTAAAAAATTCTCCAATGAATTTTCTACAATAAAATTCTCAATGATTTTTTTTGCATTTTTTTTTCGTGTTTAAAAAGGTGATATTATCAAAGCGTGATATGTTTAAAACCCCAGATAATCATTGTATGATCGACATGAAAACAACAAGTGACATGTTGTTTTTATAACAAGTGGCATGATAACATGATGCTTTTGAATTGTACGTCTATAGAGTTGACAAATAATCAGGTTGCATGACAAGTTAACCTTTTATAGAAAACTCCAAAATTTCTAAATTCCCAAGTACTTCAAAAATAAAATTCAGTAGTAGAACATTCGCATCATTTGACTAGAATGTGACTTATTAATTATTATTGTTATATTTATTGCTGAATATTCTAAAAAATTTTCGATGCTTTTATTATCAAAGAAAAAGATTGATAATCAGTATTTCAAATTGTCTCGGTTGATCCAAAATTTTTAAATTTAACTAGAAAATAAGGAAAAAAAAAATAAGGAAAAATTTAATTCATTAGTTTTTTTATAATCTGTAACATCATCATAACAATTATGCCTATAAAATAAAGATATATTAGAAATTATTATCTCCAATTTTCAGGTACCTGAATAAACTCTTTCTAAACCTACAAAAAAAGAAATGTTAAAAAATGATAAAAAAAAAGTAAGTTTCATAAAAAAAACTTATTATTTTCAATTTCCACTACTCCTCCCTATTTGAAACTCCAAGTCCGTCTTGCGGTAGATGCATGTTTGCTTTATAAATTCATTTTTAAATAAACATCTCTAAAAATGATTCCCATGCCATACCCCGGTTGAAACATTAAAAATCTTATTTCTGAAAATACATACTAAAAATAGTATCTAATACACTAAAAAATTGAAATACTTTGAAGACAAACAAAGCTAACTGAAAGTTTCTTGTAGTTGAAAAATCTGCACATTGTTAAAATGCTTAAGCAATAAAGTCGGTCAATTGAAAAATTTAGTTCCTCGAGTCACGTAATGTAGAGTCTTTTTTACTTAATATGAAATTTATATTATAAGATACGAAGAAATTAAATGAATCCTTAAATGAAAATAGGACGAATATGTAATAAACAAATAGCACTTTATAGTTTAGTAAGATTTGAAAGTTTATTTAGCTAAAGCATTCCAGGACTTCAATTTTTCGGTGTGTGAATTCTTATTTGTCATTGATTATTTGATTATTTGTCAAATACTTACAGGTTATACCGTACTGAACATACGCATTGAATTATCAATAAAATGATGCTGGGAGTTGATCATAGATTCGATTATGGTTACACAAATTTTGATGCTGTATAAAATAAATTAGATCTTATAATATTAACGTATTTTAAGTAAAAAATATACTTACATTATTCTAACAAAAAAAAAATCATACAAAGCATACTTATTTATTTTATTTTGATTATATCGCCGATCCAAACTCAAGAGGTGAAAGAAATAAAGAATAAAAAATAAAAAAAGATATTATATTACTAAAGTTCACCAGTGGTGATGGTCACCATACCAGCATTATGATGCACTTGACCAGAATTAAAAATCTAATAAAATACTGGCTGGCATTACATCATAAATTCGCTACTGGTGACCGTCACCACCGGTGATATTTAGTAATACCAAAAATAAAAAATCATGCTTACTGTAGGTAGCGTCAATCTGATCATTAAAGTAAATTGTTAATATTATTATAGTAAAATTAACCATGTAAAAAGCAAGTTAATGTAAATGAGTACCTAGGCTGAGTTTAATGAAATCTATTTCTCTTAGATTTAAGCCTAAAAGACGAAATAAATAATAACAATAATACCTATACATAAAAAAATAAATAAAGAATTACATAAAAACATATTGGTATAGATTATTATAAAGAGAAAAAAACCAGGATGAAAAATATTAAAATTCAGTTTAAAAAAAATTAGAAAAGTAAAGTTATTAAAATCTCGGTTTCAAAAAAACTAAAAAAAATAATTTAGTCTAACAAAAAGATACCAAAAAAAAATAATTCCATGTCGGATCAATGGGAACCTTGGCGAAATTAGTATAACCGGGAATGGAAACATGATTAATAAATAAATTAAGCTTTTTTTTCGTTAATTAGCAAAAAAAAATATCCGATTAAAATTTCATTAACCGGAATTAACGTTACTGTTACACACCAATTTCTTTAATTATATAGATATTTGCGATGATGCGACAATTGCGACATTTCTAGCGAATGTTTCAACAAAAAAAAAATCATTAAAAAATCTCACTAAGAAAAAAATATAATAATTAAATTATTATTTGTCGAAGATAAAGTTTGGGCAAAAAATGATTAAAAAAAATGACGAAAACGTGCCAAATTTTGTTATATGTAATTATCGGGTGTAAAAAGGATTAATTCATACACAACAAATGTAACTTCGGATCGGAAGAGCGAAGAGCGCCGTTTTATATATGCAGTATATGTATATGTATATACAGTATACAAGATGATAATTGAAATCATGCATCGATACTTGAATAGTAGGATATAGGACGAATATAACAAGCTTAACTGCGCAAAGAACTAGTGAATATTTATAATTTCTCCTAGCTTTTTCGTTCATTCGCGTGAATGATTTTGTTATTTTTGGTTATTTTGATTTAATTTTTTTTAACCAAGTTAGCATTAGTAAAAATATCAAGCGTTAACATTTTCGGCTTTACTTTAAAGCGAACATTTTTTGCGTGGTATTTCGTCGTTTGAAGAAATGATGCATAATTTATGTACTGTCGGGATTAACATTATTTTTACTACGACTATAAATATCATTATGCGTCAATATTTAATAGAGAAATTAAGAAATTAGAAACAAATGTTTGATTATAGAAAGGATCGGAAATACGTATATGTTCTCAACAAATAGATGGAATAAACAGCATCATAGTATGCCTTTGGGCAATATGAATTATTTTTACAAAGGGATTAGTGAATATTTTATTAGTGAACTCTTAAGATATGATGGCGCTATCGTTCAGCCCATTATTTGGCATAGAAATCACATGATTGATATAATAAAAAAATTAAATGAATATTTTGTAGGAAAAGTTTAAATAAAGCTTATAAAGTGGATTAAAAATAGAAAGCTTATTTATGATGTTATTAATTAATGCATGATCAAAAGCGTCAGAACGATAACATGACATTTATTTGATGTGAGGCTAAATCGTGAAAATGGCCACTACGTCGCCCATTTTCACCCAATCATTCGGTCCTGTCCTGTGACAGCTACTCCAGCCCCAATATTGATGATCATTTGTCGATCATTTACCGATCAATTATCCGTTGCTGAAAAAATTTACATAATATATGTTCAAATTTCACAAATAACTTAAATTTATTGTATATTAAATTTCATTAGATTTGGATTGTTATTGAGTGAGTAACTTTTATTAGTAGAAACTTTTTAGCTTTTATTATTATTCTGAATTTTTATTAATAAATATCAGATATTTATTTTTATCAAACATAATTGACTATCTTTACATAAAATTGATTATTTATACTTTGTGGTTTATTTGGCATATATTTATTCTGTGGCATTGGTTTATTTGCCATAAATAAAAAACCTGCATTATGAATCGGATCACTGCATTATTTTTACCATATATTATATATGATATAAAGAAAATTTATGCAAATTTTCAAGTTTCGCCCATGCATATTCATTTTCGCCCATCAATTTTTGTCCTGATGATTGGCAAAAATGAATGAATTATCACATGCAAATAATGCATTATAACAATATTAAAAATTAAGCTAGCAGTCACATAATTAAAATTATATGTTTTAACTTGGATTTCCATTATTTTTTTGCCACATTATTTTAAAATTATTTGTGGCTGTTCAATAAGTTTTTAAAAATCCGGAATTAAATGATTGGTAAATGATTGTCAAGGTGATATAACTATTTATTATATGGAAAAAGTGTAAAAAGTGTAATGTAAATCTGAAATATTATTTTATTCAAATTTAGCATCATTGTGAAAAGAATTTTCTTTTTTACACAGAATATTAACATGCATTATATTACTCATATATTACGAGAACAAAAAAAAATCAATAAAATCAGATAAAATCACTTATGTTTCACAGTTGTGGCTTAAGTGGGCTTGAACTTTTTTTAATGACGCGATTAATAAATTTCATTTTTTTTTACAATATATTCTTCTAAAGTTCGTTAATTGTTCATTTATTTGTTGTATAATTAATTTAAATTTACTTGGAAAACTATTTTTCCACCTACTCCAAATAAATTTTATTCAATTCCTTCGCAATTTTTTTTTTTTACATTAATTATATTGATTTAGATATTTTTCATTTCAAATTTATTTTATTCTATTTTTTTTTTATTCCATAATATTTTCCCTGAATAGCAGATTGACCTATTTTAATGAGACTATACCTCTACTATTCTGTCTTATCGAAAAAAATAAAAACTTTCCCCTAATTAAAAAAAAAATCGTTCAAAAAATTCCAATGGAACAAATTAAATACGATCCGACTGAAGTCGATTCTGAAAAAACATCGGTATTTATTGTCTTTTTTTTTTAAAAAAAAATAATTAAATAAAATAATTAAATCGATAATCCTTTATTTTTTTATTTTTTTATTTTTAGACAAAATTAGAAGATATTGATGATCCATTAGAAAGATCAGCAAAACGAACAGAATTAATACAGAGTACTGAACAAAGATCAATATCCGCGGAGAAACCTGCTTGCGTAGAATGGCATGGAATAAATTATTCTATATCTGAAGAAAATAATGTATCCTGGTGGGATAAAATTAGAAATTCTGATTCTAAATTAGAATCTGGTAATCATGTACGAAAAATAATAGAAAATATTCATGGCTGTGCTAATCCAGGTAACTAATTTACGAATTTTGTACATGTATATTTTTTTAAAAAATAATAATCTTATTTCATTTAAAAATAATTTAAAAGGTGAGGTTCTCGCGATCATTGGACCTTCTGGTTGTGGTAAAACCACTTTGTTAAATATTCTTGGCGATCGCGTTGGAAGTAAGGGAGTTGAAGGAACTATAACTCTAAATGGTCATAAAATAACGAAAAATTCAAAGAGATTTGTTGCTTATTGTACTCAAGATGCAATCTTTTTCTCCCATTTAACCGTAAAGGAAACTCTCAGTTACACTGTAAGTAACGTTGACAGAGCGCCCAAAACTGAAATGCTGCGCCATTGTTTTTTACTTTTATGTCGATACTTTTTTTTTATATATTAGGATTAAATTTTTTTTATTTACAAATTTAATAGGCTCGATTACGTCTTCCACGTGAAGTGCCACGACGTGATAAATTAAAACAAGTTGAAAATATTATGGAATTATTAAATTTGACGAAATGTGCCAATACGATAATAGGAGACCATATGACTCGCGGTGTATCGGGAGGAGAAAGAAAACGAGCCAATATTGCATCTGAGCTGTTAACAGATCCAAGTGTCATTTTACTAGACGAACCAACATCTGGATTGGGTGAGTAATCAAAAGATAATTTTGAAATATTCGAAATATTCGCTTCGTTTTTTTTTTATTAATTTCTTACTCAAATTTCATTATCAGATTCTTCGTTGGCTCTTGAGATTACAAAAATTCTTAAAGAATTCGCTGTTAAGCAAAAGAAAACCATTATTATGGTTGTCCACCAACCTTCATCTCAGGTATTTGAAATTTTCGATAAATTAATGGTAATGGCTGATGGACATATGGTCTATTTTGGTGAAAGAGCTGGTGCAGTGGATTACCTTGCTGATCAAGGATATAAATGTCCCCCTAATTTTAATCCTGCTAATTATGCATGTATGTATTATTTCTTATTATAAATATTTATATTATAAAATTTAAATAAATATATGCAACATTATAACGTTTTTCTTTTCATTATAGTGGAACTTTTAAACGATAATACAATCAAGCAGAAATTAATAAATGCATATACACATAAAACTCGTGATGATCCAACTGGAAAACAAGTAGTCGAAAAGTATTCTCGTAGAACGCGTGCTGATGATCAATCCAAATTAAATGCACCGGTTACAAGTGAACGTCATTGGGAAGCTACATTTTTGCAACAACTCTCGATTCTTACCGAAAGAACCTTTAAACAAAGTAGAAAAATTATCTTATCAAAAATTAGTATATCTATAGCTATTACTTTGACTATATCTTGTATCATAATTTGGTTTCAAATTCCTTTCGCTGAACCTAATATAGATGATCGTGTTTCAAATGTGAGTATCGATGATATAAATTCTTTTTTTTTTTTTTTAACTTCATTTATTCTATTTATACTAAATTTCTATTAATTTTTTATTATAGATTTTCTTCGGTGGTATGAATTGGACATTCTATGTAATGAGTGAATCAGTATTATCTTTCCCGTTGGAATTAGACATGTTAATGAAAGAACGTCAATCACGATCTTATCGTTTACTATCATATTACTTATCCAAACAAATCGCCGAATTACCTTTAGTCTTATTTAATCCTACATTATTTACTATTCCAGTATATTGGGCAACAAATTTATTACCAGATTTTGGTAGATTTGTAGCATATTTAATAGTAGTTTTACTTGGTGTAATAACTTCTCAGAGTTTCGCTTATTTTTTTGGTGCCACTATAATGGACATACAAAATAGTATGGGTAAGTATTATTTTAAATAATTTGATTTTATAATTTATTTTTAATTAATTGAATTTTTTTTTCCTATCGAATATAGCTATCAGTTTGATATATTTGCTTATAACTATGTTATTAGGTGGATTTTATGTAAAACAATTACCAACTGGCTTAAATTGGTTAAAATATTTTGTAAGTAGTTACGATAAATCTGAATTTTGTTTTCAAACCAATAATATTAATAAATTTTTATCTCTATTAATAGTCATTTCTAAAATACTCGTATTCTTTGCTTTTGCAAATTCAACTTGATTCACCGAAAGCTCAATTCAGATGTGCTAGACCAGGAGAATTACCTGCTGGACAATTAAGTATGTGTAACGTAGGAGATATGTCAAGTATTCCCGGTATTTCTATAATAGAGAATCTAGGATTAAATGATTTACCTTGGTATGCTAACCTAATAGTATTAATAGGTTTGTGTTTTGTAGTGCGTGTTCTTGCTTATTTTTCATTACGTAAAAACAGTAGGAGAGACTAAGGAGAATAATAATAGTACTGTAGTTATTATAATAGAATACTCTACTTATATAATTTTTGAATCATATCTGATATATGCTCTCGTGATAATTGACATCATTCACCTGTATCGCTACAATCAAGTTTTCTTTTTTTTTCATTCATGAAATTACTTTTAATCTAGAAGTAAATTTATATAATCACAATAAATTATACAGAATTTTTATACTTATTTGATATATACGAAATCATTTATCTGATGCATAAAGCAAATTTTTTTTTACGGGATTACATATGGTGTGATTTTTTTTCTCGATTTGCAATCATGCTATTACGAAATTGTTCAAAGATCACAGTTATGATATCATCCCAATTGAAGCGAGAATAAATTTGGAAATGGTCTATTCTATTCTATTGTGTTATAAGGATAAATGGTCGTATGAAATCGGATAATTACCGAATTCCGATTATAAGTTGTACAGGAAATAATCACGGGACGATGATTGTGTGACTGAAATTGAGATTTAGCTGATCTTTATATGGGGTCGCAACGGTCGCATCCATTTCACCGACAGGGTCATTTCGCAGACAATGTTTCACCAACAATCATCTCACCGACAAGGGAATTTAGGAAAGAGTTAAAAGAGTTAGAGTTAGGTAAGAATTAGGGTTAGGGTTAGGAATTAGGTTAGAATTAGGGTTAGAATAAGTTGGGTAAGTGAATTAGGATTTCAAAACTGTCGGTGAAATGACTGTAGGTAAAATGATCCTATCAGTGAAATGATTATCAGTGAAATGTCTGTCGGTGAAGTGAAATTATTGTCGGTGAAATGGGCCAGACCCTTATATGAAATTAAAATTTGACGATCAATTACAGCTGATTTCAAAAAGGTCAAGACACTTAGCAAATTTTAAAGAACTCTGAAATATTTGGTAAAGCTTGATATAAAATAAAAATTATACGCTAATTTTGGAGTACTGTTCCGAGAATGGTGGAATAATTTTATCTTATTTTGAGCTTTACCGAATATTTCCGAGTGCTAAGTGTCCCGTACATTATGTAATTAAAAATCAACGTTACTGTTACACATCAATTTCTTTAAATAGATAATGTCAATCTGCGATAATCAATGAACGTGTGACAATTGCAGCAATTATATAACATTAAAAAATCTCACTAAAAAAAATATAATAATTAAATTAATTTACTAAACCTTCAACCTATCCAAAAAAAATAACAATTATTATTATTTGTCGAAGATAAAGTTTGGATTAAAAAACAATGATGCGAAAACGCGCCAAAATTTTGTTATATGTAATTATCAGATATAATTCATACACAACAACACATGCATAAATGTAACTTCGGATCGGAAGAGCGAAGAGCGCCGTTTATATATGTAGTATATGTATATGTATATACAGTATGACAAGTATAATTGAAATCATGCATCGACACTTGAATAGGATATAGGACGAATACAACAGGCTTAACTGCGCAAAGAACTAGTGAGCAGTGAATATTTATAATTTCTCCTAGATTTTTCGTTCATTCGCGTGAATGATTTTGTTATTTTTGGTTATTTGATTTAATTTTTTTTAACCAAGTTAGCATTAGTAAAAATATTAAGCGTTAACATTTTCGGCTTTACTTTATGGCGAACATTTTTTGCGTGTTATTTCGCCATTTGGATAAATGACGCATAATTTATGTATTTCGGGATTAGCATTATTTTTACTACTATTTTAGTATCATTATATGGACATGCATTATATTACTCATATATTACAAAACAAAAAAAAAGCCAATAAAATCAGATAAAATCATTTATGTTTTACCGTTGTGGCTTAAGTGACTTGAACTTTTTATTGGTTTAATGACGCGATTGATACAGTCGCCACTGGTAATAACGAACCTGATATACTGAAAACTCGTTATATCGAACCAAATAGTGCAGAACCGATTTTCTTATAATTAATTACACTGGATATAACGAACTAAATTAAATATATTAGCATATTTGATACCGAATGATCACGTGAATTAAAAATTGGTATAGGATAATAATCATTTACGCGGATAGTCTTTTTCTTCATCAGAACACAATATAATATTACGTGCGGGTTAAAATTCATAATTAATTTTAATGAAAAAAAAAAAATTAATCATGTGATTTTATTGGTAGAATCTATATACCGAACTGTTCGGTAATAGATTAAAAGTATTATATAACAACGGAGGGTTCGTTATACCCAGTTGCGACTGTTCAAAGTTAGTTAATTGTTTATTTATTTGTTGTATAATTAATTTAAATTTACTTGGAAAATTATTTTTCTTCTTACACCAAATAAACTTTATTTATTTAATTTTTTTTATATTAATTATATGTTACTTTATTTATTATCAGTGATGTGCACCAATAACTTTTTATTGAAATTGGAAGGCTTAGAATTGGAAGAATTGGAAGATTCCAATAGTTTCCAATCTTCCAATGCTTATTATCTTTCTAACAAAGCAAAATGTTTAAAAAAAATATAAAAGGATCAAAATTTTCTTTGGATATTTTTCATTTCAAATTTATTTTATTTAATTTTTTTTTTATTCCATAATCTTTTCCCCGAATACTAGCAGATTGACCTATTTTAATGAGACTATACCGCTACTATTCTGTCTCATCGAAAAAATAAAAACTTTCCTCTAATTAAAAAAAAAAATGTTCAAAAAAAAATTCCAATGGAACAAATTAAAAACAATCAAATTGTTACTGCTATGTCACCGACCATAAATGAAAAAACATTGGTATTTATTGTCTTTTTTTTAAAAAAAAAATAAATAATAAAATAATTAAATCGATAATCCTTTCTTTCCTTTTTTTAGACAAAATTCGAAGGAAGTGATGATATTAATGATCTCTCAATTCAATTAGTAAAACGAACAGAATTAATACAGAGTACTGAAAAAGGATCAACATCCGCGAAGAATCTAGAAATGTACACATCGAAAACGAATTTCTTGTCGTAACTGTTTATCAATCTAATATAACCAGTAGTGATTTGTTACTCACAAGTGGTTAAGTCTTGGAATCTTCCTTCCCTTATTTCCAAGTTTAATCATTTAGTTCTCTGGAAGAAACCGACTTCATTCAGAAGTCATCAGCTTACGTAGAATGGTGTGGAATAAATTATTCTATATCTGAAGAACATAATGTCCTGGTGGAATAAAATTAAAAATTCTGATTCTAAATTAGAATCCGGTAAACATGTACGAAAAATAATAGAAAATATTCATGGTTGTGCTAATCCAGGTAACTAACTAATTTATGAATTTTGTACATGTATATTTTTTAAAAAAATAATAATCTTATTTCATTTAAAAATGAATTTAAAAGGTGAGTTTCTCGCGATCATTGGACCTTCTGGTTGCGGTAAAACCACTTTGTTAAATCTTCTTGGCGATCACGTTGGAAGTAAAGGAGTTTAAGGAACTATAACTCTAAATGGTCATAAAATAACGAAAAATTCAAAGAGGTTTGTTGCTTATTGTACTCAAGATGACTTATTAGATACCTTTTTTTTTATATATTTGAATTAAATTTTTTTATTTACAAATTTAATAGGCTCGATTACGTCTTCCACGTGAAATGTCACGACGTGATAGATTAAAACAAGTTGAAAATACTATGGCATTATTAAATTTGACGAAATGTGCCAATACGATAATAGGAGACCATATGACTCGTGGTGTATCGGGAGGAGAAAGAAACGAGCCAACATTGCATATGAACTGTTAACAGATCCAAGTGTCATTTTACTAGACGAACCAACATCCGGTTTTAGTGAATAATCAAAAGATAATTCGAAATATTCGCTTTATTTTTTTTTTATTAATTTCTTACTCTAATTTCATTATCAGATTCTTCATTGGCTCTTGAGATTACAAAAATTCTTAAAGAATTTGCTGTTAAGCAAAAGAAAACCATTATTGTTATCCACTAACCTTCATCTCAAGTATTTGAATCTTTCGATAAATTTGTCATTAATATCCAAAATTAATGCAATAATGATAGTACAAATTTAGAAAAATTCACTCTAAGTTTGAAATATTTATATGAGTTCTTGATCTTTGCCTGGATTCCTTTGAAATCATTTTCTTTCAGAAAAGAAATCACCAAAATTTTATGGTGAAAATTATTTTTGGCAATTATGTAACAATTATCATGTTAAAAAAAAAGGCTGATCATTTTAATAGAACTGCGAACCCGCATTCCCGCAAAACTTTTAAATACAATTCAGTCATAAATAGAAATTACATATTTATTAATTTTATTTAAAAAATAAATTCCCTTAAATAATTATATTATTTATAAACCAAATAAAACATTTTTTGATATTATACAAAAAAAATTTGCATGGCAAATGAAGTCCTCCACAAACTGCAAGTTTAGTTTCTTTTTAATAATAATTCCATAATATTTTCTATTTGTTGATTAAGTTTATCCATTCGTTGATTAAGATTATCCATTTGTTGTTAAAGTCCAATGTTTTGTTTTGGAAGCTCTTCTTTTGTTTGTTCTTTTTGCATCTCTAGTTTATTATCTTGTTCTTCCTTATTATCTTGTACTTCCTCATTATCTTTTTCTTCCTCATTATCTTGTACTTTCTCATTATCTTGTACTTCCTCATTATCTTTTTCTTCCTTATTATCTTGTTCTACTCCAATATAATTTATAATACATTCTATTTGTTGTTTAAGCTCAACATTTTGTTTTGTAAGCTGATCTATTTTCTTTTCTAGTTTATTATTATCATCATCAGAAAGTACCACTAACTCTTTCAATTTCTTACTAATAATTGGAGGATAATTAAATACAGTCTGTACATTATCAATTGCATTAAGTAATTTACAAATCTCTGTAATAGGTATATCATAATAACTTAAAATAGTTAAATATGTTAATAAAATACGCAAAAATAATATATTAACAGATTATATATAGTATAATTAATACTTACATCCAATCTGGAAACCATTTCTTGTTATTACATTGCCATGGAAACATATATTTTTTTATTCAGATCAGGTCGAATATTTCCTCAAAACCTGACCTGACTTGACCCGGTAGGAGCACTAATTATTATGGAGATTGAATTATTTTATAAGACTCGTATTTATTCGGGTCTCATATTTTTGTAACCCGACCCTTGACTCGACCGAGTATAATTTAACTCATGTAACCCAGGTTAGACCCAAACATTTAAGTAAAATGGGTACTAACTTATATTATGCGAGATTTTCTTATAATAATAACAAAATTAATTTCCTTTTATTTGAAAAAAAAGGCAACTTAGTGATTAACCACTAAATTTGTATCATGAATGGTTATACAAAACATGTAACACTAGCTCTTATTTTTCTTCTAGACTAATTAACTAAAATAAAATTAAAAATACGAATTTTGAACCTGGTTTAATATAATAAAAGTCAAAGAATTAGGCAAAATAATTAGCAAATCAAAGATAAATTGGAATTCTAAAGCTATCAGAAAAATATTATTCTCAAAAGCCAAAGGTTAATTTTTTTATTTTTCTGATTAAGCTATGTTAATATTTGTTAAAACTAATTCTTGGCTTAATTTTGGCCAAAATTATAATTTTGCCAGAATTAAAACATTCGGGTTGATCCGGGTCAAACCCGGGTCAAGGAAATTTATAACCCGACCTGGCGGGTCAGGTCATGCGGGTCATGCGGGTTACGGGCATTAAAAATCGTTAGTACCGACCCGATTTAAAAGTCGAGTCGGGTCAAATTAACCCGGGTTGACTCGTATTGTTCAGAGCACTAATAATAATCTTTAAAAGAAAGTAAAGTGTTAGTTAGTAAAATAAAATTGATATAATCAACAATGCAAAAATGGTTACCTGTACTTTTTGTAATAAAAATTCTTCTTTTTTGTTAAAATCATCAATTGCTAGGTTGAGTAGTCCAATAAATAAATTCATAAGGTAGATTACTGTGAAAAATGTAAAAGTAACTAATAAAATGGTCATAATAGAATGTTCACGATAAGTAAATGATGATAAAGATCCAGAATCGCCTATAATTATATTAAAAAGTTATTAAAATGTTTGTTTTTTTTAAAAAAAAAATGCTTTATAAATAAAAAATAAATTGTTACCAGTAAGAAGATTATATACCGCTAAAAGTGAAGTGGGGAACCAATTAAATAAATTTGTATTTGGATCAGGATCTTGAATTATTGTAGTATTAGTTATAATTCCATCTGGATTAACAAAATCATATTTAGTTGCAAGATTCTGTGGATCATTATCATCATTAATACTATTTGATCTTAAAACAATGAAAAATGCTTGAGCATATCCAAGTACTATAAAAAATAAGAGCACTATAAATGGAAAAACTTTTTTTGCAACGCCAATTATTATGGCAAAATAAATTCCAAATGATTCAATTACCCTAAAAAATAATAAAAATTTAAAACTCAATATTATAACAGATATCGCTGTAAGCTAATGTGGTTGACTTTTGTTAATAAGCCAAAAAATGGATGCTATAATAGGTAAAAGATAAGCCCCTACATCTATTGATGATTAAATCAAGTTAATGTTATTTTAAATGTAAGTAAATGTAAGGTAATTAAATAAATGTTAATGTTACTTATCAAATAAATTCCATACATCATTAAAGTATATTTTATAATTCCATAAACAATAACGAATTTCAAAAATTAAAAATATTGAACCAAATATAATGGAAATTATAAAAAGTAATTTAAAATAAAAATCAGGGATAGACTTTTGTTCTAAAGTAGAAGCTAATGAATAACAAACATAAAAAATTGTATAGAATAACCAGATCAGATAATAGTAAACTCTTCCAAAAGTTTTCCACTTAAAATCTATAATTGCGTCAAAATTCCACCAATTATAAAAATGATTACTATCTAAATTATAAAATAGAATAGATTTTGGTTTATATAAAAATTCATTCCAAATACTATTACTTTTTGGTATCATCATGATTATTTTTAGTCCAGTGATTATATTTTTTAGTAATGTGATCATTTTTGATTTGATATCATGATTTTTTTTAGCCTTACGGTTTTCATGATCATTATTTTTGAAGTCATGGTTCTTATGATCATTATTCTCGTTCTCATGGTCATTATTTTGAGAGTCATGATTCTCATCATCATTATTTTTGGTGTCATGGTTCTCATGATTATTATTTTCAATCTCATGATTCTCATGGTCATTATTTTCAGAGTTATCTTGGTATACACAAATTTGAGGAAATGGAACAATGAAACTGACTGTTTGGATTTCTTCCTTTATCCTTAAATACCGAATTAATCCATTATATAATTCTGAAATAAACTTAAAAATGATATTATCCATATTTGATTCTTTAATGTAAATAACGTGTGAATGAAGTGAAGTATTTTTTGAATTTCCAATGATATTACAATAAGGAGATAACATAATAGACGTGCGTAAGATATATGTGATTATGTAATCAGAATAATAATCACACAATTCTGCTAAGTTTAAACTAATAATAGTCATGTAATTTTCGGAATAACCTTGATTTGATCCAATAATTTGTCTAACAGCATCATGGCATTTTTTTTTAATTGCTATTTTTAACATTTCAGTCCCAAATTTTGGTGATACAAATTTATCATTTATAACATATTCAATTATTTCCTTTTTGTCCCACTCATCTATAAATTTTTGTAATGGTATTGAGTGTTTTGAATCATCAAATTCATTTTTTAAAATTCTTCCAATAAGTGGTTTGTAGTGTTTATTAGTAAAATTAGTAAAATTATTATCATGAATTTCACCATGCTTTTCTATGAATTTTACAAAGAATTTTTTATAAATATCATTCCATTCATCATTATTCCAAAAGTATCGAAGTCTTATCCCATCTTCATTTATTGTAAAAATAAAGATTCCTTTCCTACTAATTAGTACCAAATCTTGGTTATTTATTAGTTTAAATGAGAGCATATAACCAATACCATAACCAGTTATTACTTAATCATGTCTAAAATTAATATCATTATCCTCAATCCAAAGATTTTTATTAATTTCAACTTTATCTACAACCTTTTTAATGTCCACTTGGTCAATGATTTCATTAAGCATACTTTGTATAATTTTAAAAATAGGTAAAGTATAAATATATGAGGTATTGTTTGATAATTGTTGCAATTTATTTTCATCGATTCCATTTATTCCATCTGTGACACAAACATTACCATTTTCAATGAAAATTTTTCTATTTAATTTAGTTATCACACTTGTTATTCCATTAATACCATCGGAAACGACAATTTCATCATAAACTTGATAAGGATCTACAAGTTTACCACCATATTTATGATAAATGAATAATCTTTCAGTATTTTTCAAAGTTATGAACTGCACACCATGTGCATTATCCTCGTCTGCAAATAAATTATAATTAGAATATATGAAAAAATCTATCATATAAATATGTACTGTATGTATTGTAAAAGTAATACTCACTCTTATAAATCAACATTCCATTTTCCATTGAATATATATATATATATATATGTGCTTTCTGATTTTTATTCATTGTTATTTGCCACGGACGAAAAGTAAATTCAGTGTATTTTCTTTCTAAATTCATTGTTAATAAATCAAATTGAAGCATTTTACAATCGGTATCGCCAACAATTAGAAATAACTTTGTTCGATATATAGAACATATTTCAACTTGACCATTTAAACTTTCAGGAATCTCTATATCAATAATTTGAGAATATTCCCAAGGAACTGTATTTTTTGGTTTTTCTGTGAAGCAGTATTTATAAATTTTGCGATCTCCTAATGATACTTGAATTAAATCACCATTAGGAAGGAATCCAATAGTAGCATAATCAACTTGATGCTTTAGTTTAAGAAATCGATCACTACTAGTATGATCACTATTTAAATCAATCAACCCTACAATTACAATATAAATTATTAATTAAAACATAAAATTGAATCACTATTATTTTGAGTCAAAATAAATACCTACAATTATCTCCTAAACTACGTAATAACAAGATTTTTTTACTTAGCGTTTGTAGTGCATAATAGTAATTTAAATCGTGGGCGATTTGATCAACCTTAAAATAAACATCGGGTTGTTGTGGACCATTATTTTCAATGTTAACTGACCATCCAAGAACCGATCTATCTTCATAACTATAAGTAACAACATAATCATCTGAATCATATTCTTCATTGATGTATAGAGAAACTTTAATTTGAATAATTGATTTCCTATGTTTTTTAAAAGTATCATCTTTCATTTCTGATGTGGATGTATTATTTTGAGTTTCAACTTCTATTTTATCCATATTACGTGAATGAATTTTATTTATAAAAATTTATGAAAAATATTTTTTTTGTCGCACTTTTTATAAAAAACTGACGAATTCATAAAATTTATTTATTTTATTAGGGGTATTGACATACAGTATATTAGCTAATATTTTGGGGGGATGGAGAGTTATGCAAAAATCTTAGATTACACAACTTTTAAAAAAATATGATTGGTTGCACGTGACCAAAATATTTTACCTGGGGATAAGCACAAAAAATATTAGCTAATATATGTCACTGCCCTTAAACATGCACGCCAAGCAAATTAATTTTTTTTAACAATAAAGTTAACTTCATTTAAATTGGACAAAAAAAGTAAAAATTAATATTTCATCATGCATAATGTTTGGTACAAAATATTGCGCCGGAAAGAACGATAAAAAAAAAAATATTTCTTGTCTTTGTTTTTGATTGTGCAGAATAAAATAGGTTAAAATCAAACAATGCCATTCAATTTTGTAACAATTTACGAGTTCTCTTCTATTATTACATGTGAAATTTTATTTATTTATGTTCTAATGCATGAATAAGTTAAAGAAAAAAACAGATTTAAGATTATCATATCAAACTATCTTATCTTTTTTATGTTTATAAAATGAGTTTCGAATAATTAATAATTCCGTGATACCGATTTTAGTACGACAGAAGTTGCAACAAATTGAGATTATTAAGACATTTAAAGAGCGGGTGAATAATGAAATAACGGTGAATATAAAACAAATATTAGTGGTTAAAAATAAACTAAAAATTAAAAATTTATCATCCAATGTGTATTTGGGAATTTTATACCTAAATTTAACCGAAAGCTATAAAAGGTTAACAATGTCATATCAATCAGACATATATATACATATATCCTGACAATCATTTATTATTAAACGCCAATACTAGACCTCTTATGACTGACTCAATTAAAACAGATACACGCTTTTTTTTAAGGTTTGACTGTGTACAAAAAAGTTCAAATAATATGCCAAAAGCAGTCTACTCACATCTATAATCTACATCATCATACAGGTTATTTAATAAAACTGGTTAAAAGCCACTTTGTACATTTGATATTTCACCAAGGAATGAAAAAAAAATAAAAAAGTTTATTCATTTACAGTAACCATCCATTAATTAACGATCCCCAATATACTATTCATCGGCTACACTACTATTTCTTATTTGTAATGGTCTTAGAACATGTTAAAAATTCTAATACTTTCACTTCGGTTACGTGTCCTTGTTGAATATTCCTGCTATGGAAAAGGGTGTAACAAATCGAATAAAAAATTCTAGAAATAATTATTAGTCACATTACTTTCTGTTCATGGCGTAGAGTATCATGTGATATCTTGCAATGGAAACGAAAGAAGAAAAAAAATAAATGAGTGAAAAAGCTGTCGGTATTGATTTAAGAACGTCATATTCCTGTGTTGGTGTTTGGCAAAATGATAGGGTTGAAATTATTGCCAATGATCATGGTAATCGTACAACACCGTCATATGTCGCTTTCACTAGAAATTCTTATTGGAGAAGCGGCCAAAAATCAAGCTGTTATGAATCCACAATTTCTTGTTTAGTAGCATCGGATTTTCCAAATTTATCCACTTTTTCGCTTAATTTTACATGATATCAATCATCTATGTTTTTTTAGAAAAGGAACATATATTTTGCATATGAATTTATAATACAATTTATTCTTTTAGTTTATTGCATCTAGTGATTCAATTTTAAAATCTATAATTTTTTTTTGTGAAATAAACATAGTTTTTGAAATTTATCTTTAAAAATTATATTAAATAATTTCTGAAACCTAATATTTATTATTTAATAAAGTTTTTCAATAACATAATCATTTTAGGAATTTTCTAAATTTGGTAATTCCCGTCAAATTTCATTAAACTCTTCTGAAAGTAGTAGTAATAATGTTGGTGATAGCGGTATTTATGCTTGCAACTATGTTAGCAGGTGGATTTTATGTAAGACATTTACCAACCGGCTTAACTTGGTTAAAATATTTTGTAAGTAGTTACGATAAATCTTATTAATCATATTATTAGTAAGAATTTTTTTTTCAAACCAATAATATTAACAATTTTCTATCTCTATTAATAGTCATACATAAGATACTCGTATTCTTTGCTTTTGCAAATTCAATTTGATTCACCGAAAGTTCAATTTAGATGTGCTAGACCAGGAGAATTACCTGCCGGAGAATTAAGTATGTGTGACACAGGAGACGATGTTCCAATGTCAAGTATTCCCGGTATTTCTATAATAGAGAATCTAGGATTAAATGATTTACCTTGGTATACTAACCTAATAGTATTATTAGGTTTCTGTATTGTAGTGCGTGTTCTTGCTTATTTTTCATTACGTAAAAACAGTAGGAGAAACAAAGAATAATAATAATAGTTATAATAATCGAATACTCTACTTGTATAATTGAATCATACTATATGCTGTGCCTCAGGTGTCAATTTGCATCAGGTGATAATTGACATAAGTCAGATACCTAAAGCACATTCGCCTGTATCGCTACAATCAAATCCTTTTTTTTCATTCATGAAATTACTTTTTAATCTAGAAGTAAATTTATATAATCACAATAAATTATACATTTGATATATACGAAATCATTTACTTGATGCATAAAGCAATTTTTTTTTTTTTTACGGGATTAAACATATGGTGTTATTTTCTTTCACGATTTGCAATCATGCTATTACGAAATTGTTCAAAAATCATAGTTATGATATCATCCCAATTGAAGCGATCGAGAATAAATTTGGAAATGATCCATTCTACTCCAAAATTACAGTATTGTGTTATAAGGATAAATGGTCGTAAGGATGAAATCATATAAAAAAGATTACCGAATTCCGATTATAAGTTGTATAGGGAAAGAATCACGGGATACATTATTTTAAAGATGATGATGTTGTTACTGCAATTGAAATTTAGCTGGAGTCGCATCCATTTTACTGACAAACATTTCACCAACAATCACCTCCGAGTTTTACCGACAGAGTCATTTTGCAGACAAATGTTTCACCAACAATCATCTCACCGACAAGGAAATTTAGGAAAAGAGTTAGGGTTAGGTAAGAAAATTGGGTTAGAATTAGGGTTAGGATAAGTTAAGGTAAGTGAATTGGGATTTCAAAACTGTCAGTGAAATAACTGTAGGTAAAATGATCCCGTCAGTGAAATGATTATTAGTGAAACGTCTGCCAGTAAGATAATTGTCGGTGAAATGATTGTCAGTGAAATGGGCCAGACCTTTATATGAAATTAAAATTTGTCAATCAATTACAGCTGATTTTTACTATAACTTTAAATTATTCATTTGTTAGATTAATTAGTTGTTTTATTCCATAATAATTAATAAATACATTATTTAAAACTTATACTACTCTGAAGAAGTTTTCCCATTTCCGAAACTCTAGAATCCTACAAACTAAGAGAAAGTAAACAATTCCTAATGAAATGAAAAAAATTAGTTTAAGTTTTTCGTCTTCAATATTCTGAACTCAAACATCCGGCGAATATAATAAAAAAATAATTCTTTTTTTTCGAATAATGCGGGTGCAAATAGTAATTTTTTTTATTAAAGTCTACAAAAAAAAATAAAATAATAAACTTTTAAATAAAAAACGTAAGTTTCGTAATGAAAGTTGTGAAACTTACTCATCTCTAGTATCCGAACCCTAAAATCATGAAGCCTACAAATAGAAGAATAAAACGTTATTAAACGTTTACATTAAAAAAAAAACAAAAAGAAACGATAAATTTCGCAACCGTTTCTAATCTCAAGTACTCTGACCGATACCCTCTTAGAAAATTGTAAAACGAATTTTGCATATTGTTTACACTAATTAACCAGAAATATTTTTATTTCATATAATTGCATGTATTTTTACAACTTCATCATTAAAATTATACATTATCTTTTTTCTAGGACCTACAGAAAAATTATAAAAAAAAAGAAATGCAAGTAAATGTTTCATTTAAAAAACAAAAAAAAAGGTAAGTTTCAACAAAACTTACCCGTTTCAAAAGTCAAAACTCTAACTCTTATAATCGATACCTAAAAAAAAATAATAAACGAAACATTAAAGCGTTTTTATTAATAAAAAAACCAAAATATAAAGTTTTGAAACTAAAAGTTGTGAAACTTACCAAAACTAAATGCCCGATCTCAATGAAACCCACAAAAAAAGAAAAAGAAACGTTAGAATGTTTCTTAATGTAATCTATCTATTGTGTATATAGTATTTCGTACCAAAGAATTATTTTAAGATTGTTATGTTAATTGCCAAAGAATTAGCCCTAACATAAATATGAAAGTGGCCACAAAATTGGTCCCATTCCAAATATTCGCTTCAGAATTCAGAAGGAGGGTTATGTTACTTATGTAACGGATATTTGTACTTCACCATCAAGACGTGTAACGTAAAATTAGATCAAAATTAACAAATTAAAAAATTCTCTAAGATAATTAATTAAAACTTACAAGACAGCTTTATGTTTCCCTATAAAAAAGGTTTGTGCTAAATTTGTGCCAAACGGGCTAATTTATTCGAAATTTGTGCTAAAAAATAATATAAAATTCGAACAAATTCTAAACAAATATCGTATGATTAACCCATTTGGCACAAATTTAGCACAAACTTTTTTTATAGGGTTTTCAGACGGAAGAAGTAGCAGCACGGACGAGATCCAAAAAGTCCATTAGTTTTCCCTTTGATTAGGTAAATCACTATCTCTCATCGCTTCCCAAGTAATACTTCATTATGTTCGAATCGCATATGCAATTCCTACAATTCGTAGCAAGGCTCTTAGAACTAAAAAATTATTAAAGTTTTCAAAATGAATTATGAATTTTAATTTTAACCTGTACGTCATATTATATTGTTCCGATGAAAAAAAGATTATCCGCGTAAATGATTATCCTCTACCAGGTGAATTCGTTATATAATACTTTAATCTATACAGTTCACCTTCTCTATAGCGAATTTTTATATAACGAATAACTTGCTATAATGAAGAAAATTTCAGGTACAAATTTCTTTTATGTATAATAAAATGACCCTCAGTATAGTGAATTTCTCACTATAACGAATTTTAATCTCCAGCCCGTGGGATTCACTAGGGTGAACTGTATACCGAACAGTTCAGTATATAGATTCCACCAATAAAATCAAGTCACATGATTAATTTTTTTTTTTTTTTTACATTACACACTCTCACACAAACCCGCAAATATATTAGCCACATATTTTGCAAACCCTGAGGTTCGTTATATCCAGTGGCGACTGTAGTTTCTATATTTTGCATTTTTTTTTACAATATATTCTTCTAAAGTTCGTTATTTGTTGTATAATTAATTTAAATTTACCTTATTTACCTTGCTTGGAAAATTATTTTTCCCCTTACACCAAATAAACTTTATTTATTTAATTCCTCCGCAATTTTTTTTATATTAATTATATTGATTATAAATCAAATCTGAGTTACGATCTATCATCTATGATGATGATTTTTCCGTGTGTTACTTATTATAACCAATAACTTCTTATTGAAATTGGAAGGCTTGAAATTGGAAGATTCCAATATTCCAATGATTTTCAATATTAGTTTGTATATATATTTTTATGTGCTTCCAATAAAAATTTATTGGAAAGAATTGGAAGATTCCAATAGCTTCCAATCTTCCAATGCACATCACTGCTTATTATTTCTAACAAAGTAAAAATGTAAAAAAAAAAAAATATAAAAGGATCAAACTTTTCTTCGATTTTTCATTTCAAATTTATTTTATTCTATTTTTTTTTATTCCATAATATTTTGCCCGAATAACAGATTGACCTATTTTAATGAGACTACACCGCTACTATTCTGTCTCATTGAAAAAATAAAAACTTCCCTCTAATTAAAAAAAGAAAACGTTCAAAAAATTCCAATGGAACAAATAAAAAACGATCAAATTGTTACTGCGACTGATTCTTGTTCAAGTTCTATGTCACCGACCATAAATGAAAAAACATTGGTATTTATTGTCTTTTTAAAATAAAAAAAAAAAAAAAAAATTAAATNATCGGGTTGTTGTGGACCATTATTTTCAATGTTAACTGACCATCCAAGAACCGATCTATCTTCACTACTATAAGTAACAACATAACCATCTGAACCATATTCTTCATTGATGTATAGAGGAACTAAAATTTGACTAATTGATTTCCTATGTTTTTCAAAAGTATCATCTTTCGTTTCTGATGGAGTTTTTTCAATTTCTTCCCCATGTTCTTTCATATTATCAGAAATATCAATCTTCGTTTCTGATGCGGATGTATTATTTTGAGTTTCAACTTCTATTTTATCCATATTACGTGAATGAATTTTATTTATAAAAATTTATGAAAAATTTTTTTTTTTTTTGTCGCTCCTTTTATAAAAATTGACGAATTTATAAAATTTATTTATTTTATTAGAGACTGTGATATATTAGCTAATATTTTAGGGGGTGGGGAGTACACAACTTTTAAAAAAATATGATTGGTTGCACGTGACCAAAATATCTTACCTGTGGCACAAAAATATTAGCTAATATATGTCACTGCTGCACGCCAAGCAGATTAATTTTTTTTAACGATAAAGTTAACTTCATTTAATTGAAAAAAGTAAAAAATAATATTTCATCATGCATAATGTTTGGTACAAAATATTGCGCCAGAGAGAACTTGTCTTTGTTTTTGATTGTGCAGAATAAAATAGGTTAAAATCAAACAATTTAACATTTATTAATCTATGCCATTCAATTTTGTAACAATTTACGAGTTTTCTTCTATTATTACATGTTGAAATTTTATTTATTTATGTTCTAATGCATGAATAAGTTAAAAAAAAAAAAGATTTAAAGATTATCATAACAAATTGGGATTATTAAGACACTTAAAGAGCGTGAACAATGAAATAACAGTGAATATAAAAAAATATTAGTGGTTAAAATAATCATCTAATGTGTATGTGGGAATTTTATACCCATTTACAGCTAGCAGTTAATTCATTTGGATTATTTGGTTCCAATCTGCCAATCTGCCCAGAAAGCTATAAAAGGTTAACAAGGTCATATCAATCAGATATATATATACATATATCCTGACAATCATTTATTATTAAACGCCAATACTAGACCTCTTATGACTGACTCAATCCAACAGAATACACGCTTTTTTTTAAGGTTTGACTGTGTATCAAAAAGTTCAAATAATATGCCAAAAGCAGTCTACTCACATCTATTTGATCCAAGGAAGTCGATTTTCGTCATTAACATCACAATACACCCAAGAATCTACATCACCATACAGGTTATTTAATAAAACTGGTTAAAGCCACTTTGTACATTTGATATTTCACTAGCCTTGTTATAATACAATTTCTCCAAGGAATGAAAAAAATAAAGTGAAAGTTTATTCGTTTACAGTTTAATTAACGATCCCAATATACTATTCTAAAAAATATCATCAGCTTATATGATCTCATTTGTAATGGTTTTAGAACATAGAAATTCTAATATTTTCACTTCGAAAAGAATGTTACGTGTCCTTGTTGAATATTCCTGCTATGGAAAAGAGTGTACAAATCGAATAAAAAAATTCTAGAAGGAATTATTAGTCACGTTACTTTCTGTTCATGGCGTAGAGTATCATGTGATATCTTGCAATGGAAACGAAAGAAGGAAAAAAAATAAATGGGTGAAAAAGCTGTCGGTATTGATTTAGGAACGTCATATTCCTGTGTTGGTGTTTGGCAAAATGATAGGGTTGAAATTATTGCCAATGATCATGGTAATCGTACAACACCGTCATATGTCGCTTTCACTAGAAATTCTTATTGGAGAAGCGGCCAAAAATCAAGCTGTTATGAATCCACAATTTCTTGTTTAGTAGCATCGGATTTTCCAAATTTATCCACTTTTTCGCTTAATTTTACATGATATCAATCATCTATGTTTTTTTAGAAAAGGAACATATATTTTGCATATGAATTTATAATACAATTTATTCTTTTAGTTTATTGCATCTAGTGATTCAATTTTAAAATCTATAATTTTTTTTTGTGAAATAAACATAGTTTTTGAAATTTATCTTTAAAAATTATATTAAATAATTTCTGAAACCTAATATTTATTATTTAATAAAGTTTTTCAATAACATAATCATTTTAGGAATTTTCTAAATTTGGTAATTCCCGTCAAATTTCATTAAACTCTTCTGAAAGTAGTAGTAATAATGTTGGTGATAGCGGTATTTATGCTTGCAACTATGTTAGCAGGTGGATTTTATGTAAGACATTTACCAACCGGCTTAACTTGGTTAAAATATTTTGTAAGTAGTTACGATAAATCTTATTAATCATATTATTAGTAAGAATTTTTTTTTCAAATTAATAATATTAACAATTTTCTATCTCTATTAATAGTCATACGTAAGATACTCGTATTCTTTGCTTTTGCAAACTCAATTTGATTCACCGAAAGCTCAATTTAGATGTGCTAGACCAGGAGAATTACCTGCCGGAGAATTAAGTATGTGTGACACAGGAGATGTTCCAATGTCAAGTATTCCCGGTATTTCTATAATAGAGAATCTAGGATTAAATGAAATACCTTGGTATGCTAACCTAATAGTATTATTAGGTTTCTGTATTGTAATGCGTGTTCTTGCTTATTATTCATTACGTAAAAACAGTAGGAGAAACAAAGAATAATAATAATAATATGATAGTTATAATAATAGAATACTCTACTTGTATAATTTGCGTCAGTTGATAATGACATAAATCAGATACCTAAAGCGCATTCACCTGTATCGCTACAATCAAGTCTTCCTTTATTTCATTCATGAAATTACTTTTAATTTATAACAGATAAGTAAATTGATATAATCACAATAAACTATACGTTTGATATATACGAAATCATTTACTTGATGCATAAAACAAATTTTTTTTTTACGGGATTACATATGGTATTTTTTTTCACGATTTGCAATCATGCTATTATGAAATTGTTCAAAAATCATAGTTATGATATCATCCCAATTGAAGCGAGAATAAATGTGGAAATGATTCGTTCTATTCCAAATTACTATTGTGTTATAAGGATAAAGGATGAAAAGATTACCGAATTCCATTAAATTCCCGATTATAAGTTGTACAGGAAAGAATCACGAGACACATTATTTTACGAGCTGTGCCTGATTCTAACCTATAATAATTACGGTTAATCGTGTTACTTATTTATATATTGTTTCCGACGGCAATGCCAGCCTTCAAATGTGACATGATCTCTTATTGAGCAAAAATGCATAAATTATATAAAGTTAAAAAAGAAAAAGAAGGAAAAAAAAAGTAATTTTACAAAAAAATCTCATGATTTCACATAAATCATAATATTTAAACCTACTTACACATGACAAGACCAAATAGATTCTAATTCATTCTTTTCAATGTTAATGAATGTCTCGGCACGTGACTTGATATTATGAAATTTAAAAAAAAATTGTTCTACAGGTGCCAAAATTGTTGTTCATGTTTTCATATCGAAAATTACTCTTCAGTTGGTAATGCTAAAAAATTAATTTAAAAAAAATCATTAGTATGGTTGATACCAGAGGACCACACAACATAAAAAAAAAACCCTCCAAGAAAAGTGAAGGTAGCAAAACCACTTCAGTGTACTGTCATGGTCTTGATACTAACATAGGAGTGTGTTGGTTAACACTCCTTCAGGAAAACCAGTTCACACCTCTTCTCTTTTTAGTCTTTTTTTGTCTGTAAGCTTGTTTATCAAAATTCCCTGCTTAGCATGCTTATTGCTCTATTTGTCATTCCTTATATGTCACTGACCAATCAGAATAATAGGGGTAATTAGTGAAAAAATGAAAATGTTACACTGCCACAAAAGAAGAAATAGCATAATCTTATAAAATATGTTATTTCCGTTTATATTTTCAGTATGAAGTAATAAAGAAATAGATATAAATTGCACTCCATATTTTTTAATGATATTGTTTAATTTCGATAGTTGAAATGGTGACTACTAAACAATAATAGATGTGAGCTATATCTGGAGTAGTTTTTACTTTACGTTAATTCATAGCTAGCGAGGGTGACAAACTGTATTTTTTTTTTTGTATTTTACAAAAAAAGCTATTCTTTATAGAATATAGTATACACTTTGGAGAGTATTCTATATTTTTGGGCATCAAGATTGTATTCTCAATTCTTGATTCTTGATCCTTATATATGAAAGCTCATACTATTTGTATATTTTATTTTCTCGTTAATATTTGTTTTGATACACAGATTGAAGTGATTAAGTGATTATGAGATTTGGTTATATTATATTTATGAGTTTCTAAATAACGAACATTATTTAAAGCTAGCAAACCCAGCATAAAAATTTCAGACATATCTTCTTGTTCATCGTCTAAATCTGTATTATCTTAGGCCCAAACAATACTAATATAGGTAGGAGCTGAAGATGCGTCATCATCTTAGTAACTATCAATTTGATTTTGCGTAACTTTGATTGAATTTTAGGATGGTAAGATGTTGGATTTGCTTATTTTTAATACATTTTTGGAAATAAGTTTCCTTTTTTTGTAATAATTTAATTTATTAATTAAAAATACCTACTAATAAAGAAAATGAATTTGCACATCGTTTCTGGTAAAATATAAAATAGTGATACTTTCTTCGTAATAGCTATACACTAAAACATCTACAAAAGCTTTTTTTTCTACAAGAACAACTTAAAGCACACACTTTTCTTTTTGCATCAGATAACAATGTTTGCTCAATTGTTTAAATATACACTTTTTTTTTAGTTGTGATCATAACAACAACCATAGGAATGCCCGCATCAAATGTTTGCTTTCCAAGAGAGACACGGTTGCCTCATGCCCAGACCGTAACTACCTTATTTATTCAAGCTCCTGGTGCGGATCTCTGATCCAAATAAAAGTGGTATGTTATGCTGATGGTGCGAACATTTATGAAATATTTGATCAAAATTGTAATCCAGATGAACACTGTGTTGATTTTCTTCATGATAATTCGAACCCATTTGCAATGTTTATTCATCTACGAAAACTTTAGAGATTTTCTAATGGTCATAGTGATGTTGAAGCTTGTTCGGTCACTATTAGATTTGACGGAAACACCAATGGTAGAGTATCAATCGGAATGACAACATATTCATAAAGTAATCAACCAATACAAGTACTTGATTTGACTTGAAGACTTATTGGCAATGACCTTAATCATGAAGCTGATAAACATAAGTAATTGATTATAAAGCGCATGATAATGTGACTTTCTGTTTCATTCCAGGCGCAAGTGATCCGCATAATCCAGTTGCTGCTAACCAAGTATTTTGCTGAAGCCTACATTGTGCTTCTTAACGGAAATTCTGCTGCAAATGCTGAAGATATTACTCCAGTTATTTCGCAAAATTAAAATCTGAGAATATGTTTACATTCGAATAATTCCATCAGTATTTCAAAAAATTCTTCTTTCGAATACCACATTGTGAATAGTTATATTACTGTTATTTTATAGTATTAAATAGAATATTTTTATATAGTCGGTATTCTCTTATAGTAATTATAATATATTTATCAATAATCTAAAAGTAAGGGAAAATCTTAATAATATTTCTCTTTTTTCTTTTTACTTTTTTTTCCTAATGAATATAATCTTAAGTGGTGGTTCATTCTATCAAAAAAACTTTATTTTGAATTAATAAGTTTTTAAAAAGTACCTTATCAAGTGTTATATTGATATAAATAAAAATGTTCAAAAGAAATATAAAAGCAAGTAGGGCGAACATTTTTTATCAATTTTTAAATAAATCTTTTTTTTTTTTTTGTTAACGGTTAGTTATTTGAGACCTAATTTGATTTTTTCTAGCGAGATTGAAATTTAAAGGTAGCCCTTATCTGGTGTCCACGTGGATGTTCACTTTATATATTAATTTTTGGCTGGAATTAGGGTTAATATCTGGGTTCTATTTCAATGACATCAAAACACTATAACGATATCGGGATTGTGAATTATCCTATTTCTAATCTGACAAAAACGTCATGGCGATATCTTAATTTATATTAAAAAAAATTGAACAGCATTCACATTAATCGGATGTAACGAGGCTTCTCTAGACTTTATAAGTTGCAATTATTAGTAAAAAAGTCGTTGTTTGGCCGAATAGTAGCTGAGTATTATTACGCAAAAAAAAAGTCACAATAAGAATATCCATCTAATTTATGTACTGTATACCGTTATAATAAGGTTTACTCGGAAAGGCTTGTATATAAATTATTTTTTATTTACGTGCAAACTTTTTGCGCCAAATTTTGCATTGATAACCGAAATGTTTCACCCTGATTATAAACATATTATCAATAAGATTTCAGAAAGCCTAATTAATTCTTGCGAAACATACAGTAAATTAAAAAATAGTGTTATCGTCAGGTTAGCTATTCTCATTCACTCACGGCATAAATAACAGTAGATTCATAAGGTCTATATTTGCGAATATATAAAAATACGCACACATGTTTAAAAATTCAAATATCTTGGCTCCTTTTGTTATATTTTTTGTAAATAATACATGAAAAAGAAGCCGGGTTGGCCCTTTCTCATGTATTTACAAAAATAATAAAGAATAAAGTAATAAAAATTTGATTGATTTTAAACTGTACATGTGTTTTAATGTAATTGAGGGGGAAACTGATCGCATATTTTTTATTACGTTAGATTAGAGTGTAGATAGAGACAACCTTAGTGGTTGTAATATTATAAACGTAAGTTGTAAATTGGCTGTAAAAACTACACTATTGTGGTTAACAAAAAGATGGTAATTTTGATTTAATAATTACTCGACTTTAGTCTTTCCAACTATTTACGGCTAATCTATGCTCACAGCAACAAACCTTAGCGTAGATAGAACATAGATAATGCAATAATAAAGTTCTCCTGAAAATGCTTATATATATATATTTGTAATATATATATTGTTATAATTTATTTTTCTGTGTAATTCTTAGAACGCGCGAAAGCCAACTATCACATCACATTTATATGGAAGATTTGACAAGGCGTTAAAAGGGTTATAGTTGGTTTGTTATAAGGATAAACAAAATTGATTCTTTATAATGACACAAAACTAAAAAAAAATATTATTATTTTGTAATTTATGTTCATAATTTTTGCACCGCTTTCGACTTGAGAGAATATAAATTTTTTTTTTTTTTTTTAAAAAAAAAAAAAAAAAAACTTTATATAAAATTATATTTTACTTTATTTTGCAATGTATCAGATATAGTGGAAAAGATTCTCTTAAAACTTGATTAGATATAAATTTACATTTATATATCAGATTATCGACAAGTATTTTAAAAATCGTTTTATTCTAAAGACAACCTTATCCAAGTTTCCGTATATACAAACGTTAAATCAGTAAAGCCTCCACAAAGAACATAAAATATTAGCCTCGAATGTAAATAATTTTCTCTGCGCTCTCAGTTTCATCTACGTGATCAAGACCCAGATAATCCGTATTTGACAATTCCCTTTCCGATAAGATTATATCTAATAAAATCACGTACCATTAACAAATTATTGAATATAAAATAAAATTAAAAATATTTATATTAATTTACCGTCATCCTCGAGATATTCAGGTTTTTCGTATGTTATTTCTGATATAATTGCAATTCTTATTCTCGAAAATTCAATTTTATTCATACCAAGCCGAAGCTGAAGACGTATCTTAATATCAGTGAGTGTCTCACCCTGAATTTAAAAATTATATATATTAAAATTCTTTAAGCTATTTAATCAAAAAACTAATAAATAAAATTACATTTTTAATAACAAATTTAAATGGAATTCCATGTGTTTGTATTGGATCTTTTATGAAATGATATACTTGTATTATTTGATCATTCGAATTAGCGAGTAATTCATCTTGAGGTATTTCCTGTAATTATCATACAGTAAATCACATATTATTAATGAGAATATGCATTCAAGTTAAAATAACCAAAAAATAAACAATAAAAAACAAATCATAACATAAATTCACCTCTGCATATAATGTCATAAATTCCTGTATCCTACCTGTCAGTTCGGTTTCCTTATACTCTTTTTGAATTTTATGATTCATAACTTCATATAATCTTATTTTAGCATCTGGTGATGACAATGTTACCTTTTTTAAAATTTCTTTTATTATTTCACTAACAATGGCATCCTTTTGAAGGCGAATATCAATAATTTCCTAAAATTAATTTAATCAATTTTTTTTGTTCTATGATATACTACTGTACACAAAAAATACACACATATATATGTACACTACCTCATTTTTAATAGTGTTTCCAAGCCAAATGATTTTAAAGAACTTTTCCTTTTCTGTATCTTCAGGCTTTCCGGGTTCTATAATATCTCCATCCAGTATTTCATAATATACTTTTGGTTTCCGAATCATATCTAAAAGGGCGCGATTTGCAGTTTGTTCAATTGGGTCATACGGTTTTTCAAATCGAATTTTAAGTAGATCTATGTTCAAATGAAAAGCAACTGCTTCAGCAACCTACAGTATAATAATGTAAGATTAATTAAATAATTATATAATATATATCAAAACTATAAAAAAAGTGGACTATACATGCTTGATCATATGTTAATTTTTTATTTAATATTAAATTAAATTTAGGATAATTTTTCAATCTTGGCTTGAATGAAAAAACAGTATGTAAAGACAAAGATTCATAAAACTGAGGAATACTATGAATACGACCAGCTTCAATATGCTCTTGAATTCTAATAAAAAAAAGGTATTAAAGGATCTTTAATAATTAATATCTAGTATTAAAAGGTAATAAAGTTTTTAATACACACTCTTTTTCCGTTAAATTCTTTTGAAAACAAATTATATCACCATTTTGTAACTCTAATCGTTGGAAAGTGAATCTAAGATCTATTTCATCAATCATATTTGGTTTGATTTCCTATAATTATATATAATATGTTAAAAAGATTCATCATTATTAAATGATACATAATTCTATAATATTTAAATTTGCTCACTTCATATAGTTTCAAAGGTGTATCTAATGGAAAATTCTTTTTCTTACAGAGAGTATGAATATAGTTACTACTTTTATCAAACCTTCGTACATATAATTGACCCAGACCTCTACGATTAAATATAAAGATTTTTATTAAATATGATAGAAATTTCATAAAAGGATAAATATAAAAATAAATCATACTCTAAAGTTTGCGTATCGGGATCAAAATATTTAAGGAAAATCAATATACTAATATTTTCTTTTATCGAAGAGAGCAATGTCTACAAAAGTTTATTTGATAATATATTAATATATATAAGTTTAAATTCAAGGTAAAAATCTGAAAAGACAAAATAAGTTATATAAAAATTATATACCTTGCCATTAAATTTTTTGTCTGCTACCTCCATATAAAGTTTCATTTCATCTTCTTGGGAAGTCAACCTTGCATGAATTTCCTTCATACCTAGTATAATGAAGTAAATTAAAATTTTATAATAAAAAATTCAAGGAAAAAAAAATAATAATTAAAAATATATTACTTGTATTAGAATAAGATTCTAGTATTGGAACATCAGGTCGAACAGTTCCATTTTGACGACTCGCTAAAATCCAAAACCTTACTTGTTCAGAGGGAATATTGAAATATTGAGAAACATTTTCTTTAAATACGCCATAAGTTGTATTCATTAAGATCTTATATAAATATATATCAGAAAGTGGCGTGTTTTCAAAATTAGCAAGATCAAACCCTTGATACTTTTTGAATTTTTCAACAGTCACAACCTATATACAGTACAAAAAAAATATTATTGTTTAAATAATGATAAATAGGATAAATAACAATAAAAAAAAAAAAGTGTTATTTTATTGAAAATTACCTTGACAGTAAAAGTTGATAATAATTCATAGAACTTAGGAATTTCAAAGATACGAATACTTTTAATATGTTCCCTGATCCTAAAAAGATATTAAAAAAATTTTGCTTAATATTTAATATTTCAAAATAAATATTGGTGAAGACATACTTCATGTTTGATGCCTTTTGGAAACAAATTATATCCCCATTTTGTATTTCTGATTGTTTAATTGTGAAATTAGGATTCATTTCTTCTATCATGTTTGGTTTTATTTCCTATAATGATACATTATTTTTTTAAAAAAGATTTATAAACCCACTATATAACTCTATGACATTTAATATGATTCTTACTTCATATATTTTCAAAGGAGTATCTGGTGGAAGATTCTTTCTCTTACAGAGAACATTAATATAATCTCCAACTTTATCAAACTCTTGTACATATAAATGACCAAGACCTCTGTATGATAATAATATGTTAATATCTTTATTCTAATATATTGGATAAATAAAAAAAAATATATCTTACTCCAAAGTTTGTGTATCAGGATCAAAATACTTGAGGAAAACAATTATATTCTTATTTTCTTCAATTAAAGGGAACCATGTCTACATATATTTGATAATATAAGTTCTAAACCCTAACATAAAAAAGTCGGAAGAATTATATTATATAACAATTATACACCTCATCATTTATTGGCTTGTCTGCTACCTCCATGTATAACTTCAATTCATTCTGTAGTGGAACTATTTCATCACGAATTCCCTCCATACCTATTTATCACAATAAAATAAAATGATTGTAAGATCATTATAATAATAAATTTAATATATATATAGAAATATAGAAAAAGTGTATTACTAATATTCATATAAGATTCTGGTATTGGATGATCAGGTCGAATGGTTTTATTCTGACGATATACAAAAACCCAGAATCTTACTTGTTTCGAAGGGACATTGAAAGTTCGAGAAATATTTTCTTTAAAAACACTATACGTTTCGGCTTTCAGAATCTTAAATGTATATACATCATAAAATAAAAATTGATGATCAAAATTGACAAGGTCAAATCCTTGATGTTTATCAAATTTTTCGGTAGTTACAATCTATTTGCATGTAAAAAGTGAAATAATTAATAACAAGAATTTGAGACATTTCTTTTTAAAAAAAAAAAAAATTTACCTTGATGGTGAGATAAAAGTGTTTCATTTGAGGTTTATTCAACAAGGGCTCGCTCTATAAAAAAATGATTATAGCATATACATACAGAAAGTGGTGTACCCATATATATTGAGATAGGTAAATTCATATGTATGTTATTACTAAATTTGGAATATATTTTTTTTTTATGATGACACAGCATACCACATATAAATCGTTCTAGATCTTAAAATCGATATGTATCTGGTATATAGATTTTTGGTAGGGTTTTCGAACGATCATTTGCATTACAAAAATCAGTTAACTATGAAGAACATAAATTATTATAAATGTGATTAAACTTAATCTTGAAAATTTATTATGATACTATGCATCATAATTTATTTTATCATTAATTTAACATTTATACTATGAATGCTAATTAAATAATATTCATTTATTTATATATCTATTACTGTATTCGTCAATATTATTTCTTTTTTTTATACTTAATACCTACGATAATATACAAGTTAGGTCCTTATTAATATTTACGGGATGTACGAATTTTTGTTAGCTGACTTTTTAAGATATAATTGATTATATAAAATATAATATTTTTCCTATTTGATTCTCTATTATGTAGTACGCTTATTGCTATTTATCCAAATTTTAAATTAAAAAATGAAAAATTTTATTAATAAAATTATAATTTTATTATATTTTTAATCTCAAATGCTCTATCGAGCAGCCGGAAAAATGACAAGTCGTTACTGTAACATTTTCTGCATCAGTGGAACGTACTGTAAAACCTTCTAGTCATATTATCTACAAAAGGCTTTCATAGAAATTTTAATAATTATAAATTATAACCTAAAGTAACTCGTAAGTGCCGTTATTAAACTACTAGTTGGTTTAAAGATCATAAATGAGGAAATCTGGCGGTATAATAATGATCTTTTTTTCTTAATGTTAATTGAAAAAAAAAAAAATTTTAATGAAATTGAATAATATAATAGTTGGACTTGGAGCTATACAAAATGCAGTAAATCTGCAATGATGATAATGATGTTTTCTAAGGACAAGTATACTAAAATTTCGTGATTATTTATTTTGTATAATATAAGCCCTTTTGAAAAATTATGATATATTGGAAATATATACGGTACGGTCCTGCGGGAGTGTTGGAATAGGGACCCTAAAAGAAAAGGCGAAAATAGCTAATGAATCAAATGAAATTGGTAAACCATGATAAAATTTTTAGAAGTCAAATTATTTATAATGCGATTCATTTTTGATAAAACTATTCATTATGACAATTAATGACAGACTATTTAAGTATAAGGCTTGGGTTTGATATTAACAATAATAATAAAATTAATACAGTATATATTCTTTAACGAGTATTATTAAATCTTAGATTCGATTAATGGTCAAAATTTTTATTTAAAAATCCTACGGATACCCATGTCGATTCCGGGGGTACATTTACCAGTTTTACCAGTTTAAATAAGTTTAATATAATTCTTTAAAATTGGAATTATGAATTATTGCAAATGAATTTCATATTAGCTAACAATACAATCATATTAAGAATAATATATCATCAGTAACAGAATAATGTTAAAATGAATAAAACTAAATTATTTTAAATATCTGCGTTAATTTTATATCAAGTTCTTAGGCCATAAATTTTAATTAACTTATAATTTAAATAAAAACTGCCACATGACGCAAATGCAATATTTGGACTAAAAAATATGTGATGATCTTCTTCCTTCAATATTTAATTCGCCTGGAGGTTATTGAATTAATATGGCATTCTGAACTCGCCACTTTTAAGCGAACTAAATACGAAAAATTTACTTTCTCAGTGTTCTTGTTTCAAATTTTGTAATACTCCATAAATAATTTCAAACAAAAGTTCCTTTGAATCTTGACAATTGGTTTTTCTTCAAAAGTCATATATCTCCCCAAAAATCACTCCAAAACATCTGAAATCTAGTAGTCTATTGGTGAAGCAAAATTTGCTCCGAAAATATTACGTTGACACCCGCCACGTTTCTTTATTAACATTTTTTCTATAAAGTATCATACTCAAAGCTGAAGAAAATAGTTTCTATTTTTATTAATGTTCTTAGCCGAATACATTATGTATGTCATGTGAAATGTTGTCGTAAACTTATCATAAAACAATTATAAATAATAAAAAGATACCTTTTACAAATAGCAACGTATATGAAATACAAAGAATTACTCTCACAATCCATAAAAAATGTAATTTTCTCAAAGTAAAACATGATCGTTATGAGCAATTATTAAAAAACACATTTAGCTAAGCTCATCATACCTTCCAATAGTAAAATATTTCAATTATCCGCAAACTTCGTGCCCTAAAAAATGTAAACCTTTATAATTTCAAATACGCCAAGAATCGTGTAAATATACTCACATTACAAAAATTAATTAATTCCTTTGATAGCACTATATATATAATGCTTATTTGATTATTTCAATGTCTCCTCCTTGTTGGAGAACGTGAACGTCTCCTGCTATAACTTCCTCGTCTATCCGGCGATCTTGATCGTGAACGTCTATCGTATGAAGAACGTCGATCACTAATAATACAAATATAAGTAATTTTATTATTATTTTTATTATTTGAAACTTTATAGGCTCGAATAAATAGTAAATAATATATTAACATACTAGTCATAGCGTCCACCACGGTAGTCTCTATGTCGGTCGCGATCATAACCCCTATCACGGTCTCGGTCACGGTCTCGCTCTCGGTCACGGTCACGATCATGGTAGCTTCTTCCCTCTCTTATGTCATTACCACGATCCTTATTCTTTTCCTTAAGTTCTTTTAACAAATCTCGTATTTTTAAATATCCAAGATGCATCTAAAATTGAAAATAAATAAATAAATAAATAAAACAACATAAAATTAAATGCGGAGAAAAAAAAATTCAAGTATTTTAAAACCTTTCCGCCAAAATGGTCAGCTAATCTATTGTGCGAATTAATCATACAATTAGTTATTATAATAATACTATGAGTCTCATTTAAAATTTCGAATATTTTTTTTTCTAATCATACCGTCTATCCGAATCAAATATAGACAAATAAGCACTACACACTTCACAAACGCGCAACTTTTGTTGTTGTGATGGACCACTACCTTCTGCTGAACTTTTAAGCTCTTTCTATTTAAAAGAAACTATCGTTAAATAAATTTAACAAATCGATTTAAATGATGATTACGCTAACCTCTTTCTCTGTTTTTATAACTTTTTTGGCATCTACATCTTGTAATAATTTAATTGATTCTGTAACTTTACCCTCTTCACCTAATAATTGACGGTATATATCTTATTCGTAATAAATTGAATTAAAATTGCTTCCAAATTATCAATTATATCATATTTACCAAGAACTTCTACTTCTTTAGTTAATTCCGATATTTCGGTTGCTAAACTTTCGATCTCTTTTGTCTATCAGAAATATAAGAACAAGAATTTTAAATTTACAGGAAGATCAGATGAGATAAATATTAATTCATACATACTAATTGTGTGACCTTAGCGCTATCTTCTGGAGTTTTGTCTAAACGTTTTTGTGCACTTGCAATTTTACGATCGCAATCTGCAACAAAATTGGCAAGATTCCGTTCAAATTCAGCTTCATAATCACATTCCTTTCTCTTTTTCGCTTCTTCATATTCGGATTTTAACCTTTCTGAATGCATTTTTGGACATGCTCCAAGATCCATTTTCTACATGATAAAATATATTAATTACAATCGGATGAGAATTAAATGAATTACATTTAATCATCTTTAATATAATATTAACCGTATTACTGTTTACATAAAATAATTGGAATACGAATTGCAATCGTGTTAGACAATTTAAAAAATAAACTGTTATAACTCGTGTTCAATTATTCTAGAAAAGCTCCTTACGTGAAAAGGTCATGTGGACAAAGTCCACAAAGGTAATTTCGACAAACTTTATCGTCATCGTATTTCATATGATCTGGAACACCACCTAGCGCCTCGGCGCCCATTAAAGCCTTCATATAATTATATAGTCATAAATTTTGTAAATAATTATTCACAACAAAAGAAACTAAAACACTATTTTCACACCTCCAGAGCCTTTCTTGCTTCTGCTGCCATATTTGAAGCGAAAAAATTTCTTCTTTGTAATTTTTTAATTTATATTTTATATTTTAGCATTGTGTCACGGGCTGTGTATGATTAACCAATATCACGTGATTCCGTATAAGCAAATTTAATCACAAATTTCATTATTTATTTGATGTATTATTTTATTGGCTTATGATTTTGTTAAATAAAAGTAAAATTTTATTATTCAGTATTGGTAGGTTCTTTATTGTCAGCCACCCAAACTAAATATTCTGCATGTAATTTCTTTTGTGCTTCCCATTCCTTCTTTAATTTCTTAATTCTACTCTTAGGAAGTTCTTGTCCTTGTCCATCGAGTGTTGGAATTCCCTTTAATAAAATAAAATATAGTTAGTTTGCAAATGAGAACTTTTATGTTTATCATCTTGCCAACATTACCTGTTCATCAAATGCGGAATAGGCATTTTTCTGCTCTTCGTCTTTTACATCCTTGAACATGTCCTCAGCAGCTATTTTACCCTTTTCCAATCGTTTTTGTCTCTCTTCTTCTTTGGCTTTTGCAGTTTCTTCTTTTCTAGCAGCCTTCTCTGCTTGAGCTCTAAGTTTTGCTTCTCTCGCTTTAATTAGTTCATTCTTATCTACTAGCTTTACCAAAGCTTTGCCATCTTCCTGGTCGTCCAATGATACACCTAATTCTACCAAATCTACATCTCTTAATTTATCACTTAATACCAAAAATTCACTGTGATCCCTTTCTTGTCTAGCAAGATCACGAACATTATCACGAAAACCCGATAAAATCCTTAAATATGGAAGGACAATATCTTCCGTCTATAAAAATTTATATAAGTAAAATGTCAAAAAAACAACTCATAAAAAATCACTTAAAATAAACTTACATTTCCAACATTTTGCTGTTCTGATACTCCAAAGCCGATTTCTTCCAATGCGGAATTTCCTACAACACCGAAAATTCTTAACATTTTTGTAACATATTTTGCAACATTTTCAAGTACATAGACATTGATATTGTTTCTTCCATTAGATAAATAAATATTGGCGTTGGTAATTAACTCCATTAACTCAGACATAGCAGCTGGTGTATTTATTGAATCACAAAGGGCCGTGTGGATTGCTACTTGTTTTTCACGAAGGCTATATGAAAGAGGGGAGATCGCTATAATTTTTTTTTTTTTAAAAAAAAAAAAAAAAATAGTAACATAAACCTAGCTCACATACAGACTTATTATTTCTTTTTCGGGATTTCGATACCGATGTGTTCCATCTGATTCATAAGCGTTATGTTTATGTTCATTCAAAAGAGCTTTTGTGTTGATAAAGAAATTCTAATAGAAAACTCAGTGAGATAATGGATCAAAATAATTAAAAAAAAAAAAAATTATAAATACATTTAAAATAGATTCAACGTTCTTGACTTCAACCATACTACTCTCTTTAAAATCAAGTTTAGAATCCCATTGGTGAAGAAGGAAGCACAATCTTAATTGCCTAGGCGTATACTTCTCTAATGCTTGCTATGTTTCATTGAGTCATTATTAATACATTTCATATATACTAAATCATACGAATTTAAAATTCTTACCCGAATTGTAATGAAATTCTTTAACGACTTGCTCATTTTTTGACCTTCAACATGTAAATGTCCAACATGAATAAAATAATTAACCCATTGTGCACATCCATGATAGGCCTATATTAATGATATTAAAATTATGATGAGAATTCAACAATAATAAATAATATTATATCTTACCTCAGATTGGGCTAACTCGTTATCATGATGCGGGAAGGCCAAATCAATTCCTCCAGAGTGGATATCCATATTTTCTCCAAGAATTTCACTAAATTACCGAAAGTAACTTGAATTTAAATTATCAGGAATTAATGAAAGATATTTATATTTATACCTAGCCATCGCAGAACACTCTATATGCCAACCAGGTCGTCCCTAATTTATAAAAGCGTTACAAAAATTTTGTTAAAGAAAAATATTTTTGCAAATAATTTATATACTTACCAGACCCCACGGAGACTCCCATGATGGTTCCCCAGGTTTACTTTTTTTCCACAAAGCAAAATCACTCTTGTTCTTCTTTCCTAACAATTTGCTTCCTAAACTGCCTTCACCTTCTTCAATTAAACCTTCATTCCCAGCAGACCACGGTTGCAATTTGGCATAATTATGCGCGTCCTTAGCGTCAAATGCTTTTGTATCAAAATAGACAGATCCATCCACTACATAACCATAACCATTTTCAATTATTCTTTTTACATATTCTACTATTTCAGGAACATATTCGCTAACTCGAGTCAAAATATCACATGGTCGGACCTAACAATGTAATTTTATGAGAATAGAATGACTAAAAAATTGTACCGATCTATTCTTACATTTAATAATTCCATATCTTTCATGAAATCCTTCTCCCAATAAGCGGCCAAGTCGCGAAAAACTTTCTGATCTGTCACTGTATGTCCTTTCTATTGAGTACATTAAAACAAATTATCATAACGCAATAATGAAATGTTATAATAAAAATACCATTAACATACCTCCTTATCTAACCATGATTGAACAACATCTTTAGACCCGACCAACAGTTGATGTGCTGCCTCTTGGCTTAAATCATTGTCCTCTAATGAGCATTCAGCAGACGCAACAGTTTGTACTGTTTCTCTCTAACAAGAAAAATAATAATTCATTATTTCAAAAAAATATTATTATTTTTCAGTTGACAAATGTTTAACCTACTAAAGTATTTGCATATAAAAGATATTTTGGATCCTCTTTGGAAGGAGCTAAATTAAGCGCTGGTCCATTATTTGCGACACCAAGCTTGGTTTGAGCAAAATCGTTTAATGCGGCTTTAACTTGATCTATTAATTCTTGACTAAGAGAATTTGTTACTGATTTGAAGTTATTGAAAAGGTAATTTTGACGAGCGCGAAGTATGATCTATTAAAGTAATATTTAAAATAATCAGTCATGATTATAAAAAACAATATTCGGGTAGAAATTACTTTTGAAATTAATGTCTTAATAATACCTTATCATCGATATCAGTAATGTTCATTACAAATAAAATATCATAATTAAAATAATCCGTAAGTATACGTCGAAGAATATCTATTGTTACATATAGTCTAAAAAAAAGAAATTTAATTAATTAACCAAAAAGGAAAAAAAGTAAAGTAATTCTTATGTTTATACCTTGCATGACCGATATGTGAAGAATCATAAACTGTTGGTCCACAATTGTACCAAGTTATTTGTTTTCCATTTTTCGGAACAAAATCAACCTTAGTTCAATAAAAATGAAATTCTTCATATATAAACAAACGAATATTCAACTAAATTTAAAAGCTTTAAAATCTATATCACCTTGCTTCTTGTAAGTGAATTATAAAGTTTAAGAGTAGGTAATGGCAACTTATTCTCTGGAACGTGCCATTCTGGCTGACCTTTACTAGACATAGTTGAAAATAGGTATTCTCTATTAAAATTTAAGTAAATAAAATTTCGATAACCAGAATTTTGAAAAGAATTTATATTTCTCCACAAAATATTCTGTAAGAATTTGGTATTCACCATGTATCTAAGAAAATGCATCCGCCACCTGATTATCAAATGTATACAGTAACTCAGCACACCCTAACCCTATAAACCTTGAATTAAAATCACATGATAAGATTCCGTCATCAAATTAACATGTAAATTTTCTAGCTTTTTTACTAAATGTAGTAAATTTATCAAAATTAACTAATAATATACACGTATGACATGTTTTTGACTTATTTAACATTATTATATACTAATACTTATGTCATATTAACACATCTGATATCTCATTAGCAAAAATTAATAATACTGCTGAAAAAATTCTTCATTTACAATATCCACCATATATAATCATGTATTTTCCTAAAAATTCCTAATTTTTAGGAATTTTACTGAATTAGGAAATTTTTTTCAGGAAAAATATATGATTATATCCACCATCTATAATTTTTTCAATTCAGTTATAGATAAATTACAATTGATTACTGCCACAAAGTCAGTTAATAATGCTGAATAAATATAAAATTTTGACCTATTTTCTAATAAGCGTCACCATAGTTGTTCAAACGCACAACCCATTTCAGTATTGACTTTTGTAATAAGTCATATTGATAGATAGTATTATTTGTACCTTCAGACATAATGAATTCCTTCATTGCTCGTTACTGCTAATTTCTGCAACAAGTTGCTCGAACAGCATATAGACGTCACTTAAATTGCTTACACAATAGGGCCTCCTGAAATAGTATTGATAAAAAAAGGATATAAAAAGTCGTATGATAAAAATGTATATTTAAATAACTAAAATTATGTATATTTCTAATTAGTACATCGGATGTGAGGTTCTATTATAATTATCCGGGTTCCTGGTGGTTTCCACTACTTTGTTACAGTATGCACTGAAGTACAGTTTAATCTTTTTTTTAAAAAAAAGTCAGTTGGTACCAGAGCTAAAATTATTACTGTCATCAATAAAAAAATATTGCGTTAGGGTTAGGATTAGGGTTAGTGTTAGTTAAAGTTAAGGTTAGGAGGTAACATTAGAGTTAGTATTAGATTTGGGTTAGAGTTAGGAATCACTATACCTATACACGCTGTTCAGAATTCATGAATGGAAAATTTTACCGCCATTTTATTTTTTATTTTTTTTTTTATTTTAATTAAGACGCAGTACAACACATAAATGTATAAAGTAAAACTATCTGTAAAATTATAGCTGTACCATACACAGTGAAATTCGATATAATGGAACCATCCGTTCCATTAGTAAAATTTGCCAAAAATCCGTTATATCAAGAATTCCGTTATATCGAAAGTAAATTAATTATACATTATGATAATCTCCAATTTCGATTTTACATATGATCCGTTATATCGAGGTTCCGGTATATCGAATTTCATTGTGTACAGTACATCGTAACAGGATTGCAAAATAAAAAAAATGTTGAAAAATTAGAAATGTGTGTGTGAAGTATATGCTACAGGTAGGTTTGTTAATGGAATCATTTAAATTAAACTACTAAAAAAAATACACAATAAATATAACTGTGGCCACTGGCGTGATTTATAAATTTTGTTATATATATTTACTGAATTGTATATATTTATTATGTTTATGAGCCAAATTTCAAAAGATTTAAAATGAGTGCGAATATTATCTCAATTTCGAGTAATATTGAACTTAAATAAATTCATTCCTTTATTGTTATTTTCTTGTTTCGTAAAAAAACATTTTACATTAAAATAACATAATAGGTTCCATTTTCGATAAATATAATGATTATTGCATGCTCAATTTAAACACAAATTAAAATTGTATTCAACCACTATTGTCAACGTCTATGCGACTAAAGAATGCGGTATTTAAACTAAACTCATAAACAGTTTAGTATACGTATTTTAATGTCTCAACAACAATGTTTATTTCAGTATATTGAAAATAATTACTATTTACTAATCATTACTGGAAATTAGAATAATTAAATCCTACGCAAAATATAAATATAAGCTTCTTCTAAAGGGGGCCGAGTTGCTTTAACTACTTTGTTATCATTGTACAAAACCCATTGTTGGTCTTTGTAGACGTGGGCTACATAATGACCACAATGTGGTGATGTACCTTTATGAGAAATAACACTATGTAATTGATAATTTGCAGGTAATTTTGAGTCTGAAAAAGAAGATTAAAAATAAATTACTGAATCTAATTAAAGATTTTTTTTAAAAAAAATTAATACTTGCCTCCGAAAGCACCATTACCATTGTGACTGGATTGTAGGGATAAACCTTCGTTTGAATCTTCATGACTAAATAGCCATTCAATAGCCCTTTGAACATCATTATTCTACAAGAAAAAATAAATGTAAATACATAAGAAATAAAATGTCAATTTAAACTAACAGAAATAAAAGGATGCAGACTGTTTCTCCTAAAGCTTTTTTGGCCCGACTTTGAGAGAATCCCATGTCTGTTAACTTAGCGATATCAGCTTCAGAAGGTCCCGACATATCAATATTATCTTCAAGATAAAAAATTATCAGTAAAAATTTCTTTCATTAGAAATAAGTGGATTATTACCTGGATCATCCATATGTTCAAATAACCAATTCATAGCTCTTTCAGCTCCATTATTTCCAGTAGCGATCAAAGCCTTCTTACACCTGGTTTCAGGAAATCCCATCATGATTAATTGATCAAGAGCCACTTTATCAAAGGTAGGTTCTGAGATAATTTCAAATTAAAAAATTAAAAACAGATACTTCTCCCGTAGTAACTCGAACATAAAAACATCATACACAAACCAGCAGGGGTTTCCTCGGGTAAAGATTCCTCATTTTCTTGTTTTCCATGAGCAATATATTTATCCAAATTTAGAATTTCTTTGTCAAAAAGAATAGGGACACCTAAAATATTATTAAATAAAATTGTTTATTGCTTAGACATAGCTAATACTGTGAATCATAGTATATCTTACTAATTTTGCAAGTAACATAGTTTTCACTTTCAAATCTTAGTGCCTGAACCATTAAAATCTCGGGAAATGTTACAAATCTCATATTTCTGAAATAAACAAATCCAAATAAGTTAATAATAATGATGAAAAATAAAGGTTCAGGAAATCATGATACTTTACTTGGCAGCATGAGTTTTCTTATTGCAAAATGGACATAAATATTCAACCATAGAATCTGCTGTAAAAGATTCTAAACATGTTTCAAAAGTTACGGGCTCATAACTTTCTTCAGAACCTTCTTCCGCAGATTTAATTTTACGCGCTGGCACAGGAATTGATATATTTGATTCATTATTGTTACTATAACGCACCCGTTTACAATCTAAACACTGTAAACGTTGCTGTATTGTAAACTTAAAAATCTTAGTTGGGTCACTTTCTGAATTATTAAGCTCTTTTCTCTCAATCGTTGTCATGAGATGTTGAAAGAATTCAAAAGCATCCTGATGCATAAATAAGATAATAAAGTTTTAACTATCACATTAAAATTTAATAATATATAATCTCTTCCAACCTGCTGTCGCATAGTGGCAAATTCTTCATGACCTTTTCCAATTAACGTTTTAAACATAGCAGGTGTGATACCATCTTGTCCAGGGGCTTCACTTTCTGTTTCATTTGTCTGGACAGCCTGAGAATATCGACCACTCAACAAACCATCTGCCAACTTGGATAATTGGCATTGAAGACAATTTGCTGGTTCTAGCAAACATTGTGACTGATGCTCCATCGCAGTTGGATAATATCTTTTTTTAATTGCTTTTTAGTTTTAAATGATAAATTGAAAAAAAAAAAAATTTCAAATTAGCTAATTCTGCATACCTTTGTTGAAATGCATCCAAAGAGAAAATGACTTGAAGAACAGAAGCCATATAACAACTATCCCCATTAATGCTTTGTTAGTTTATGAATACCATCATTTATTCAGAAATATAATTTGTTATAAGCTCATACCTATTTCCCAAATTTTTAAGACCAGTATAGCCAGGACCAAATAATTTCTCTAGTTCTTTGCCATCCTCAGTAACCATGCTAAAGTCAAATTGTAGATTTTGTTCAAGTTGCTAGAAAAAAATTAAATAATAAATTAAAGTGTGTCCATAAATAACAAAGCAAAAAATAACAAAAATAATTCGCACCAACTCTGTTAAGTTCTTTTCAGTTTTCTGTTGTGATTCAACGTTTATTCCAAAATTAGCCAGATGTTTCCCCAAAAGAGGATCCAATTTTGAGTCATTACACAAATAGCAATAAATATCTGTGGGAAATGTAAAGTAAGAAACTATATTTAATCACAAATTATGAACAAAGTTTTTTCGGACAAATTATACCTGCTGTTCCTTCTGGAGTAATTGTTCCGAGTTTACAAGATATTGGATGTTTAGTTTGATCAAAATGGGCTAACCCATGCCCATTTCCACCTACTCCGCCATATTGTTGTCGTCCACAGCCAAGGTTACCACAAACCAAACAAAGCCAGAGATTCTCCTTTAAATCACAATCATTACAATGTGCTAAGGCTATTATTATAAAACATAATCGCATGATTAATATTATAGTAATAATAATACCTACCAAAATGAAAAATAAACAATAACAACATTGAATTCACCTTGTGATTCTAATTTTTTTGGAGGATTCTGCACTAAATTTTGTGTATGTTCACATGCGGTAATTTCTTCCTCCCACGCTTTTATTTCAGACTGTCTTGAAGCAGATAATGAGGTCATGACCGAATCAATCACGATAGGTAACTACATTTTGAAATTATTCAATTATTCAATTTTTGAGTCAATGGCTTAAACATTTCAAAAAGATACAAATTTTAAATAAAAAGGTTACATTTCCAAGGCTTTTATCGATTTCTGCGCCACCACATGCATAACATTTTACTTTCGTAACAAATTCATATTTGTCTTTGTCAGATTCCGGTACAATCGCGAGCTTACTAATTTTTTGAGGTGGTTCTTCAGTTGCATCCGCCTGTAAATTAAAACAATATCAGTAATATCACGAATTACAGAAAAGGTACCAAACAAACTTACTCTTTTTGGCTTATCTTTTAAAAAACGATAAATGTTTAAAACTAGAGGATGATTTGTCTTTTGATAATGGACTTGAGCATGTTTACGGTCAGGACTATCACAGCCCGCATTAAAACAAGTTAAACAAACATCGATGCCTGGCGCCAAATCCTATAAATGAACTAAAATTAAACAAATTCCTCTGAGTAATTAATTACCAATTTGTTATACCTGCGAATCAAAACAAAGCGTACACTCTTCTTTGTGAACTTGAGTAGAATTTGCTACTAGACTCGCACTCGAAATATGTGGGCAGGCCATTATAAGAACTTCGATTGTTGGGAAAGAAAGAAGATAGCTGGTTGACATCAATAAAAATAACTTTAGTATCACGTGCGTTATATTATGCAATGGTGTCACAGTGAATTCTAAAATCGGGACAATTTTGACAGCTTAACTTTTAATTCTTAAACACAAAAAATCATGATAAATGCACCATGGAACGGAGAGACGTTACAAGAAGACGGCAATTACTGCAACTAGATCACCCAATTTCTTCCATTCGAGCAAAGAATAAAGGTATCGATCAGTTTATAAGTGATAATACGGTTAAGTTCATTTCCTTCTAATAAACGCTTTTTAAAAATAGCTGCTGATGAAGCAAGAAAACAAGAAGAAACAAAAAACGTATTACAAGGACTACTTGGAGATTATAGTGAGAGTGATGAAGATATTGAGGAGCAAGTTTCAAATTCACAGCTTGGTAGGCTTAGCTATTCTTGAGAGTATTAAATTATATCAACTTTTTTGTTATGATAAATTGTAAAAAAAAAAAAAAAACAACAAAGAAAATAAGATAATAAACCGGTTGGTGATAAACAAGTTCTTCGTGAGTTAGTGGTGTGCTGGGAAGTGATGGGTTAATTTTATTGAACAAGAAATGACTTATAAACGTTTTTAAAAGAGGAACCAAACGGAGAACATTCTCAGCCCGTTTCTGTTCTAGAAAAGAACAGTCCGAAACCAACTCCTCCTTTACCTACAATACCATCAATTCATTCCCATCCTGTTCCGGAAAATTCTTCGACAATTATCGATCAATCCGAAGATAGCATTGAAGAAGCGTTGAAAAGTTTCATGTCTGAAATCAACGCCCTGCCCGTAATCTCAATTCATAACGATTCTTTGGTTCCAAGTGATGAATTGATTAAGAATGGAAAAGAATTAATATCAACGCAAATTTCCAATCTGGATAGTGATTGGGAAAAATACTGGCATGATGAAAATAAATGCCACTATTTTTATAATAAAATAACAGGAGAAACGCGATGGGAAAATTTTGATTCGGACTTTTCTTTGGCATTAAGTACTTCCAAAGAAACGAATAATTCGAAAGAAACTAGTTCCACAGATGTCAATCGTGAAATGGATTCTCAATCTATAAGTGTCAAGGATGATTTTACTCAAAATATATCACTTAGGGCTCCCCCATCGGATTCGCTATTACATGGACGTTCACGTGATGCTTATGGAAGACTTTCAAATCTTGCACCTATGGTAACTCATTTGAAGCTTGAAAAGCATCAAATTGAATTTGCTACTAGAATGCATGATTGGCAAGTTGGGGCTTTGAACACTCAATATTTTGAAAAAGTTATTCTTGAAAGATTAGAAAGATTATTACTTGGAGTTGAAGGTAAATGATTAAATTTAGCTAAATTTAACCGATTTTGATTAAACTTAAATTATATATATATTGTTCAAAAGAACAAGTTTCACCTACCGGATGGGTTTGTAAATGGAAAACTGAAACGCAGACTTACAATTGGATAAATTTACAAACGGTAATCTTCTAATATTCATACATGTTATACATGTTGTGTATACATTATCTCATACTTAACTTATATATGATTAGAATCAAGTTTCATCGACTTATCCGAATCAAAGTTTGTATACAATTTTTTATAACATTTAACAAAGTAATATGATTAGTCTTCATGAATATGCTACAGATTCTTTTAGTGCTTATCTCCTTTTTTTCTTTTGCTTTATCTGCAGGTCATGAACACTACCAAACCTCAGTTTACTCTACATCAACATCTACACAAAATCTACCGCCATTGCCTCCTTTACCACCTCCACCTCCACGATCTGATTCTACAGGTGATAAAGATGTTAACATCAAATCGGTGTATTCTGAAGAAGATGGGGCTAATAAATCATTAGGATTATATAATGTTAATCATCTGGGAGTACAACCCACAAGCGAGAAGAAACGAAAAAAGGAAAAAGAAACTCTGACATCTGGATTCAAAAATAAGAAAATGGTACTTAAAATTTTATAACATAATTTCGGAAATTAGGTGATTTTTTTTGATAATTTTATTATTAATAGGCGACGCTTGTTGAAAGGTGGAAGGCAGCCGAGGATTTTCTTTCTAATACTGATTGGGATGAAATTAAAAAAAGTCAACATGGAATTAATTCTTCAGATCCTGAATCTTGGATTAAAGAACAAATAGAATCTGGAGAAGCAGCAAATAATCCCAATTTAGAACCAATTAAGGGGGATTGGCGTCAAAGAATTAGAAACAAAAAATCTGACGAATAACTACTTTGTTTCTTAAAAAGTTTCTTCTTTTTTTTTTAATAAATAGAATATTGAAATATGATTTTTTATTTCATGTATTGATCATTTTATCTAAGCAATATGTTTATAAACGTGATTTAAGTTAAAATTATTATATAATAAAAGTTTTTATTGATTACAATTATTTATTTCAATAAGTAATCTTTTAGGTTCAATAATAATATAATCATCAGAATAAAAAAAACTTTTTTGAAGTTGAAAAATAAATTAAAAACTCTGAAGACCCATGTTTCTTATTATAATGGTAAATTTTAAATATCACTTATGAAATAACTAAGTCGTGTACCAATTACAAGTCCAATAATAAAAATTCATAATAATGTTTAAAGTATATATAACTTAACGTTTAATAAAAGAAATCAAAATTCAAAGTTTTTTTTTCTTTCTCTTTTTATATTTATATCCACAACTCTACAATAAGCCCTTTTATATTCCAGAAAAAATAATAGCAAAAATGAAAACCCAAATTTTTAAGAAAATATTACAAGCAAATATATATATTAGCCTCGAATGAAAATAGCCTTTTCTACACCTCCAACCCTCCCTGCACGGCCAGTTTTATCTACGTGATCAAGTCCCAGACATTCTTCATTAGATAATTTCTTTTCCGATAAGATTATATCTAATAGAAATCATATATAATTAATAAATTAAATAAGCGATTGAATAAAATATTCTTATTAACTTACCATCGTCCTCAAGATATTCCGGTTTTGCGTATGAGGCTCCAGGTACAATTGCAATTTTTACTTTCGAAAAATCTTTCTCATTCATACCAAGCCGATGTCGAAGACGTACTTTAGTATCCGCAAGTGTCTCGCCCTAAGTCAATAAAAAAATCAAAATCTTAGATTCTTAAAATTTATACTGCTAATTATTAATAAATTAATTACATTTTTAATAACAAATTTGAACGGAATTCCATGTACGCGTATCGGATCCTTTGTGAAATGATATACTTGAATAGTTCGATCATTTTGATCAGCATGAATTTCATCTTGAGGTATTTCCTATAATTAATATTTGTATATTTGTGAGTAAAATAATTTAACGAAAGAATACTCAATTCATATCAAAAAATATACCTCTGCGTATAATGTCGTATGTTCTTGTATCCTCTCTATTGGTTCGCTTCCTGTATATTCTTTTTGAATCTTATTATGATGAACATCAAATAGTCTGATTCTAGAATTTGGTGATGATGATGTCACTTTTTCATGTTTTGAGATTTCGTCTATGATGTCATTAACAACTGCATCCTTTGGAAAACCAAGTTCAATGACTTCCTGGAAATTTTTAGATGGTTATTTTTTGAACGAAATTTATAAAGTTAAATAAAATATCACCAAATAATATACCTCATCCTTAACTGTGTTTCCAAGCCAATAAACTTTAATGAACTTTTTCGTTTCTAATTCTACAATACTTATTTTCAGCATCTCGTAGAATAAAACATGAGCCGGCGGTGACAAATATGCAGTTTGAAGCATCTCTGAAAGGGTCTGATTTGTGGTTCGTTTGATGACATTTTTTGGTGTACCAGATGTCGAATGTGCTGTGGTAAATCGTAATTTAAGAGGATCCGTGTTCAAATGAGTGCCGGCTGCTCCAGCAACCTACATTAACAAATATTAAATGAAATCAGGAATACGAAAAATAATAACGATAAATCATATCAAAATTATAACAGAAAATACCTGATCATATGTCCATTTTTTATTTAAAACTATTTCAAATTCAGGTTTTGGATCCCGATCTTTCAATTTTGGCTTGAACAAAACAACAATACGTAAAGTTAATGATTCATAGAAATGAGGGATATCCCAATAACGACCAGATGTTGTATGCTCTTGGATCCTAAAAATTATAAGATATTTTTTTTATTTTTTTAATATTATTGTAGAATATAAAAAAGTGTATATAGTGTCAATACATACTCTTTTTCTGTTAAAGCCTTTTGAAAACAAATTATATCGCCATCTTGTATCTCTGATTGTTGAAAAGTGGATTTGAGTTTCATTTCTTCAATCATGTTTGGTTTGATTTCCTATAATGAAAAAATGTTTAAAAAAAAGAAAATTTATAAAACACTATATAAAAATATAATATATAATATAAACATGCATACTTCGTATATTTTCAAAGGAGTATCTGGTGGAAATTCCTTTTTCTCACATAGGACGCGAGTAATGTCGCCTACCTTACCGAACTTTTGTATATATAAATGACCTAGACCTCTATTAAAATATATTAATATATATATTAATATTTATATTGCTTATAGCATATATGCCAAATTTTAGCATAAAAAAATCTTACTCTAAAGCCTGTTTGTCAGGATCAAAATATTTGAGGAAAACCATTATGTGATTTGCTTCCGGAACTGTAGGGAACCATGTCTACAGGTAGTTTGTAATATAAGTCTTAAATTCAAAAGTAGAATATCTGAAGGACTAAAACAATTATGCACCTTGCCATTAATTGGTTTGTCTGCTACCTCCATATACAACTTCATTTCATTCTGCCGAGAAGTCATCTTTGCATGAATTTCTTCCATGCCTATTTATATATATTAAATAAAAAAATTAAACAATTGTATTAAATTATAATAAAGAAAATTAAATTAAATTATATTACTGGTATTGGTAAGAGCATCTGCTATTGGAGCATCAGGTCGAACAGTTTTATTTTGACGATTTACAAGAACCCAGAACCGTACTTGTTCAGTAGGAATATTGAAACTTCGAGCAACATGTTCTTTAAAAGAACCATAGGTATCAGCTTTTAGAATCTTATATGTAAATACATCAGAAAGTGGATATTGTCGATCATCAAAGTTTGCAAGGTCAAATCCTTGATGAACTTTGAACTTTTCAGCAGTCACAATCTATAAGTTTCAGTTTAAATTAATAAAAAGCAGTTTTCCAAAAAAATTAAATAATTAAATAAAAAAAGTAAAATAGAATTTATTATTACCTTGACAATAAGATAAAGATGTCTCTCCTCCATTTCTTTCCTCCTTCGTTCTTCTTCGGCTCTTTCTTCCTCCAACCGTTTTTCTATTAAATAGTAATAAATAGATTATGATCACTTTTTAACCTGATTAATTTAAATATATAAGCATATACATACGTAAATGTTCTGGTATATCCTCGTGAACCACAGGGGACAATATCTCATCAACATTTGATTCACGAATATAAACTAACATATAGGCATTGGTAAACCGTTTATGGTTCCTTCCAGCTGAGCGAATTGTTATAGCGTTTGCATTTGGGGATTCGCCACCATAATTATCCTCAAGTACTTCCTTATCTATAACAGGCGTGACACGGTCATCATCAAATTTAAACCTATATTTTATATTTCAACTTTAAAATGAGTACATATAACACACACACTCTGATTTGAATTAATTTTTTTCTTTTTTTCTAAAAAGAAAAAATTATTATTTAAATGGTATAACAAACCATTTGCCGTCTTTTTCAGGTTTAAGTAAAGCAAAGTAATGACCTCCATGCAAATCACCACTATGGACAAGTACGCTGTATAATAAATAATTTTTAGAAAAAGTTTAGAAATAATTGATAATGCAATAATTAATGTAAAAAATTATAAACGAACCCGTGTAATAGATATTTATGAGGACTTGATCTATCTGCATCCTCTGATAGAAACTCTTCTAAATCAATTTCCATCGGAAATTCGTGACGATCATTAATCTATATTATAAGAATTCGGTAAGAAAGAGATCATTTTATCATAAACCATTTTTAAATGTATTTATCACCTTAACCATTGCGTCCCTTTGTATATCATATTCGAATCTTTTAAGTTGTAAGTGTAAAACTGGAGGAAAGCTTTCAAAAATAACACCTTTTTTGGCATCCTGCGTAACATAAAATCAGTTAGAAGTATCTTTAATGCAAGTAACCGAATAAAAAATTAACTAATAACGTTCACTTTCAACTTACTTGCAACCCATGACCTTCTGCTTGATACTTATTATCGCCTTCCAATGTTTCTTCTTGAATATAATCCTTGAAAGAATCTCTTAAAGTCTTGCAACCTTTCACATTCAGCTGAATATCTAATCATAATTAAATTCTAATACTTATTATCTTGAACAACCATTAAACATATAAAAAATATTATTGGAGAAACACTTTATTATTACCATAATAATCTTCAACACGAGAAGACTCATAATCCACATTAACACATTTGATATAGCTCTTCATTTTACCAACAAAAAGCTTGGTAATTGCACCATCGGCTTTTGTACTCTAATAAAAAAAGATTTCACATGACAATATAGAACTTCACTAACTTAATAAACACGAAAAAAATTTTTAATATAATTTAGAGGAACTACCTTCATTTTGCCTTCAAGATTATCTTGCAACACTCTGTTAAATTCTTGTACATCGTGCTGCATGAAAGAGTCTATTGAATCCCATCCAAAAGATTTTGTTAATTCCGTTGTCCCAACCGGAGTATTTGATGTCTGCAATTGGTAGAAAACTCGTTGTAACGCCAAGGAGACGCTCTTGATTGGTTCATCATCTTCTGTGGGGATTTGGTAAACTGCCTATAATTTATAAATAAACGGAGAATATTAAATTTAGACATAAAACCATTAATTTACAATATTCTTAATAGTAATTGTACTTACCTTACGGAAATAAGTCGTACAATAAAGTGACTGTAGTAACGAATTCATGTAACACGTAGCGCCTTGGTTTTTCAATCCCACATATCCCGTCTCTTTCTTTGAATCATAACTATATGAAGAGGTTAAACACAACGCCAGAAATATTGAAGGCCATAACAAAAGAGAATATTTGCGGATCAAGCTTTGAATGATAGAAATAAATGAGGTAATATACTTGATGAAATTATGCCATAAGACACCTGTAGGATCCTTCAATACTCGTACAAACGCCGTAATATTGGTCGAATCATTCTCAATTAACGCACGCGTTCGGTTTTCACAAGGAGTTAACAATTTACGTAAATCGTAAAACCGTGTAAAACCCCAGTCCGATTCTTCGGCAGTGAATCGATGATGCGCGTCTAGAATTCAAAAATTCCAAACCGAAAAGAAATATGGCACGAAAAAAAAAACAGTATAGTAACATATACGTAGGGTGATGACTATATAGATGCTTTAAAATTTAATTCTCATACATACGATGATAAATATATTGTGTTGGATCTTCAGGATTCCACAAGACTAAAGCGAATTGAACACATGAATGCCAGCCTGCCGGAGCACCCTTAGGATCAACAAAATCAAGATAAATAGAAACGGTATCTTGATTATTATTGCCAGAGGGGAATAGTAAAATTCGCCTAAAGAAAAAAAATGAAAATCATTAAATAAGTTTATGATTTTCGTTTTTGTTGAAAATTTATTACAACACACCATTTCCAATTTCCAGCTTCGAATTCTGGCCCTGTTATCCTCTTTTCCAAATGCCGCCAATTTGTTACATGCCATGTGTCATATTTAAAGTCTTCGATCTCTTGACCTAGTTCGGGCATAATTTTATTTGCCATAGCTTCATCTGTGATATATAAATAAAATTTTGGTTAACACTAGTAATAATACTTCAGATTAAATCTATATATCCAACATCCAAAAAAGGAATGTTGAAGATGAATTTGGATTTTTATAAGGGTATATCACGTAATATATGATTAAGAAAATTATTTATTTACTATAAAGAGGTTCAAACTAAATCCAAACTTCAACAAATATGTCAGTTAAATAATAAATCAAATACAATAAAATATCTATTTGAATAATTAACATACAATCTGTGACGGGCAATGGTGTTGTATCCTCCACGTCTGACATAGGCCTTTCCTCGTTAGTTGTTTGTTCAGAAAGATCCATATTATTAGTGTTCTCGTCCTATGATAGTAAATCAGTAAAATGCATCGCAACCTATTTGTTAGTAAATTTTAAAGATCAAAATTTATGAAACGTTTTCATTATATATGATCTTTCTTATTTATTAAAGCTATAGTGTTGTAAAACCAATATGACGCGATTTATTAAGTGCTCCAAGCAAATCTGCTATTTTTATCCAAAATTCTCAAATGTTAAATCAAAAAAATAATTGACAGATTATTAACCCAGCATATTCTGTTATCAAGGCAAGCTATAAAATTAGTACATAAAATAAAGTTTAAACCATATACCATGCTGAAGTCTGCGGGAATTGTTCGCGTGAGGTAAGATAAAACTACGAGAAAGCAGACGAGCAGGAGGGGTTGTAAAATATTCTCGGGGATTATGAGGTCAATGTTGATCGATTTGTGGGTTGGAAAAGAGAAAGATAAGAAAGAGTATTGGATTCTTAAAGATTGAAATGCGAAAAAGAAAAAAAAAAAAAAAATTTTTTTCGTGATTTACTACACCATGGAATGGTGAGATTTGTTGAAGTATGCTGATTACACTACTAAGTATTATGCTCTTGTTACTATACTGTAGTACTAAGAAAAGGTTCAAGTTTTTTTTTTATATAATAATATATATACATTAATTTGCGACAATTGACGTATGTTATGCCACGTATATTTAAATACGCACTATCTACGTAATCACAATTTTACTAATGCGCAGCTTATTTATAATATTGAAAGGCCCAACAATTGGTCCTTTGGGAAATTTATTACGAAAACAATGAGCTATATAATTTATTGATGGCTCTGGGCAATTAATTAATTTTTTTTTTTATTAATAATAAAAAAAAACGCCGATAAAAATTATTAAAATATATATTACTTATTATAAATATAAATAAATATTTGGCTTGAAAATAAATTTTTACATCAACTCACGCAATTATAATAATAATAAAGAATTGTACAAAATTTTTTTTTTTTTTTTTTTTTAACTTGATTAATTTGTATAAATAAATAATATTAACGAATTGCTTTAACTGTTCACAAGTGTTACATTGATCAGATCAAGTGAACCAAAAATGNCAAAATTTTTTTTTTTTTTTTTTTCAACTTAACAATATTTACATGACCAAATAAACAGAAATATTACCAAAATATTACTAAAATATATATTATATATATCACGAACAATATCGATACACATATACTACTATCCACAACACCGCAAGCAAATTATGAATGAAAAAAAATTGGTTATATATAATTATCTGACATACTTCTGGACCGTGATCGATCTTGATTAATTGATTTATTACTAACTGACAAACTTTTCCTACGTCGTCTTTGACCTTCCAATACATTCTTCTCATTTTGTAAATGCATTGAAAGTCCAATTGAAACACTTCTATATATTTCATTTAGAAGAGATGAACGTCTTGATTTTAAGGTATCAGAAGTTTTAATGTTCGTTTGGGAAGAAACTGAATTGGGTGATAATATTGAAGAAGTGGAACTTCGACGAGACATCGACTCAGCACCACTTGGAGATGATGATGAGGAGGCAGTAACATCAAAATCTAAATTGTCCATATATTCAGGTTCATTATGATATGGCATACCGAAATAATGACCACTCAAAGAACTCTTCAAATAATGACCTGCGGCTTGAATGATTGGGTCACCCTGATTAGATATATCTCTTTCATCAGCGCTATCAATTTCTACACCTATTTCATCATCATCTCTAACATTAACATTATTATTCTCATTATCTCCTAATACATGTCTATTAATTATACGTCGTCTTATCTTTTCCTCAGTCAGTTCACATGCTTCAATATTCTCTACAGGATTTCCATTACGTTGGCTCTTTAATAAGATGTCCATTACAATGTCAATAACTAATATCACTGAAGTGAGAATAGAAACAATGAATTGTTGTTGGAAAAATGCTAACCTCTGACTATCTGAAGTTGAGCGAGTAGTATTATAATTTGTGACAATGGCAACTTTACGAGCCAAAGAAGGCAATGAAAGACTTCCGACTACACTTTGTTGCTGATTTGATGAAGAAACTTTGACAACAGTTGAATCTCGCATCAAATAGTATCTACCATCACGCCAATCTACAGTATCGCCAAATACGGAATAAATATATAATGGTAAAGCTGTAATTTCACGCAATGCCCAAGCCATGATGAAACTACGCAAACTTTCCATCTCAATCCTTTTCCTACTTAAAGCTTGAAACAATTTAACATCAATCATAAACCAAGTGATAAGATGAAAAGCCAAGAAATTTAACGGATGAATATTCCATAAAAGGTTAAACCCGTAAGACGCGCATAATCCACAAACGATCGATTCCGTAAAAGGTTCTATTACAGTTGCAGCTGTAACAGTGTATTTACGAATGCGAGTCCAGCGTGAACGACGGAGAAAATAATCAGCAGTAGCCATTGAACCAAGAGGTTGATATGCCAGATCACTAGTCATCTCATGTTTATACCCTTTTCTCCAAAGAGCACGTGCAATGAGATTATCTTCGGCCATATATTTTCCAAATTGAGCTAAACCGCCAACACTTTCAATATCACTTTTACGGTACAAATTAGATTTTCCAACCACGCAACTATCAGGTCCAATCGCATTAATCGCCAAATACATCTTAGCGTGTACGGTGTCCATGAACATCATCTCCAATTCAGAACCAAAAGTGTCAGGACAAACGGCAAAAGGAAGGTGATGAACAAGGCCAACACCAGGTTGACATAATTTATCTACTGATCTACCTAAACATCCAAAGTCCACATAAATATTAGAATCCCAAATCCAAATAATATCATATTTTGCAGATTCATATGGGCGGATCATATTATTGATTTTCGGATTAACACCTACATCACATTCACCTATATATAATATAAAGATAATATAAGTAATGAATACATATTAAAATGAAAATTGTTTCAATTACCAACCTATAATTAATCTAGCGTCTACTTTTGGATATCTTTTCATCAAGTTTTTAACAACTTTTACAGCAGGATCATTCTCGCTAGCAACCGAAAATATGATTTCAAAATTCGGATAATCTTGTCTAAATGATGAAACCAAATTCTCATATAAGTTACAATCAACACCTTTGAGTGGTCTTATTATTGTCACTCCTGGTACTTTATCCGATGATAATTGTGAAGAATTGGACTTTTTTAAAGTTCTATATCGAGTTCGTCTAAATAAAAAGAAACATAATGAATTGAATTGATCGCGAACAACCCTTTCTTTTAATGATACTTACGCAACATAATAGCCTAATATGGCAAATCCCATCATCGTTAACCATAAAGTGATTGAGAGAACCATAAAGAACAATTGTGTTCTAGAGGATGATTCCCAAACCGAAGCAGGATGATGCATTAGTATTTGTTGGCTATCATTATAGGTCCGCATTATATAATGATGAATTATCTCAGAAGGTATATGACTTTGAAATAGTCGAAATATACTCTCATCCATCTTTAAAAAAGGGTCAATAATTACAGTATAACTTTTTAACTATGTAAAATGTGAGATAAAATTCTCGACGAATTTTGGTTTTGTCGAAGGAAAATTTGAAGAAACTCCTTTGTTACTTCGCTCAGTGATTTGAACAAAAAAAAAACTAGTATAAAAGAATTAAACTTTTCGAAGGAGCAAGAATGAATAGCCTGGTTTTATTCTAAATGTAAGAACAAAACATTTACATGGAAAGTTCAAAAGCAAAAAATTTTAGAATGTGCATGTAATGTAATAGGGGAAAAATTTTTTATTTTTATAAAAAAATAAGTACGTAATATCGTTAATATTATTATTGATCAATGATTTGTGTGACCAAAATTAAATATTACATATAGAACACACTAGAAAACTGGAAATCCCACTTTGAGGGCCGACGAATTGCCGAAGACTTGATATGACAAATCAACAATCACGAGAAAAAAAATCAATTTTGGTGCGAAAAAAATAAAATTAACCATATACTTTTGACGCATATTTGTAACTACAGAATTCCAAAAAGAGAAACATGGCGTTTATTTGCTGGGTCCTAAATTTAACTGCGGTAGACACTGCTTAATGACAACATAACCTTGCATTATTAATTTCCCGGACCGAAATATATGTAATAAAGATAATCCAATTGTTCTCCCAACAAAGAAATAATATTTATCGGGGGGATCTGGGGGTGGCTTTTTTACGAAAATTTTTTTTTAAAGTTTACAATTGAATGTATGATATACTTATTCGACACATTTGATAACTTAAATTTTGTGGAATGCATAAAAGTATCGGGAAAATGTCGGATTCCCCGTAAATATTTTGCCGGAATCAATTTAAATTGGGATATGTTAAGGCGTAATGGATTAAAGTTTCAAGATGACGATACGTTCAATAAGCACTGAACAAAGAAATGAAAGATCATTATTGTAACTAACATTACAAATCATTAGCGAACTGTTTTTCTAGAAAATTACTTGATTTATTTAATAACAATCTAAGCCTATTTTGAATGCGGCATTCTTTTTTGCTAACTCAAATTCGGGGAATTTTACAAAATTCAACAAGCGCTATATCAAGTTTTTAATATAATGTAAACAGGTTACAAATTTACTGGCGCAGTACTGTGAGTTATAATGAGATCATGTACAGTACAGTACGTAATAAAGTGTTTTTTTTTATCTATAATTGCTTTTTACAAATATAGTTTTACAGTAAACTTTATTAAATAATTGATTATATATATAAAAAAGGAAATAACAATAGTTAAAATAATTCCGGCTTTTAAATTAACTATTTCAAATCTATATTAATTTATCATTTCAAGTGAAGAAAATATTATTGTAGTTTTCAAAAAAGATGTGATAAGCTAATTATCTAAATATTTGAAAAAAAAAACAAATTTTGAATCTTTACTTATCTGTTATAAGAAAACTTATTTAAATATTTAGTTTTTATACCTTTTTAAATTTCCTTTTAAATAATTAACTTTTTTATATAATCATTCAGTAAAATTTTTAAAATCAGTTTACTAAAAATTTACTTAAATTATATATAAAAAATTTGATCCTTCTTTTTATACAAAAATTTTTTTTATAATTATATTATAATAAAACATTGATATTTAATAATAATATAAAATTACATTAAAAAAATTATTTAATTAATAATTATTCAGTTTTATATATAAAAAATTTGAAAAATAATAATATAAATTAAAATTTCAGTTAAATTATAAAATATTATATATACTCATTCAAATTTAAAATTGCTTTAACTCCAATTTCAAATTTCAAATCCAATTCTAAATTCCAAATTTTCATATAATATTAAATGACTATCCCAATCTATAAATTTCAAATTAATTTATTATAACTTAAATTCTAAATTTCATATCCAAAATTCCAAATAAATCCAATTCCAAATAATTGTATATAAATAGAAATTTCCATTAAAATATATATATAATACCAGAGTTACTGGTTATATAAAAAATTGTAAAATATAAAGTAAATTGATTATTATTCCAAATAAAATATTAATTAAAACATTTTTATTTAAAAATAAGCAATAATAAAATTATTTTTTTTTTCTTTGCAAATTATTTATTATGATAAATAAATAATTTATTATAATATAAAAAATATAAAATAATTATAAAAAATATCTATATAATATCTATCAACTACTTATTCTATTAATAGTAACCAATTAAACATATTTTATTAGTGAAATATTTATCTATATATATAGGTTTACATTGTTTAACATTCACAACATAGTAGAAATTATATGATTTTAAACAAACAATAAAATTATTAAAATTAAAATTAATATAATTTATTAAAAAATTATTTATAAATATTTAAATTAATTACTAACTAACATTTAACTTATTTTTATATTACAAATATTATAAATTTATAAAATATTAGATTTTAATATTTTGTCTTTCAATTTTAAATATTTAAATTATTTAATTTCATTAAATATCTAAATATATAGTTTATTTAATATCATTAATTTTAAAATTAAGTTTATATTTATTCTTTTGAAATTATTTACTTGGATTTTTTTTTTATTAATATTTTTTAACTTTAATATTTAAACAAATTTTTTAAATTTTTATTTACAATTTATATAAAATTATAAATATATTTAATATTTAGTTATTATTAAAAAATATTAGTTTATTAAAATTTATATTATTAAATTTATTTTAATGAAAAAAAAAATTAAACAGCTATTATTTATATCTTTATTTTTATATATAATTAAATTAAATAATTTACAATTAGTATATATTAAACTTAGTTATTAATTTTACTGTATTATTTATATAAAAAATTAAAAATTAAAAATAGTATAAAAATAAAGTTAATATATATTAATATAAAAAAAAAAAGAAAAAAATTATTTGAAATTCTTTTAAAATTTATTTTTTTAAAATATTTACATTAACTTACATTGAATATTAATTTTTATTTTTATAAAAAAATATTAAAAATTATATACAGTTAACTTTTTATAAATGCATCCTCTATAAATGCACACCTTCTATAATGCACCTTTTATTTAATTTCAACTTGAACTTTAATGCTAAATGCATTGTTTATATATATATATATTTTGTAAATACACTTTTTATAAAAAATTTTATATAGTTTATATTACCTTAATTTTAGATTAATATCATATAGATTTATATATATTTTATAAATGCACATTCTCTTTAAATGTATTCTTATATCTAGTTTCAGGGAATGTATTTATAGAAAGTTAACTGTATATTATTACCAAATATTAATTTTTTTTAATTAATATATAAGTATAAGAATTATATTAAGATTATTTATTTTCTTATTTTTTAATCCATTAATTTGAATTTAAAAAACCTTTTTTAGTGGCAAAAAATTTTGGAGATTACAACAGAAGAATCTATAATAATTATATGTTTAAAACAAAAGCAAATTAAATGCCAAGGTGAAGATTTTATTAGAAATGTATTACAAGATATATTAGGAATTACAGCAAGGTCAGAAAAATTCCAAAAGTTCCAACACTTGGCATTGGAAGTGAAAGTTGAAACTCATTTAACAACAAAATTACAAAAAGACTTTAAAATAACTCTTAATGAGACACAGATACTTATGGCTAACATTTTAATACAGTTCATTTTAACATTTAAAGAATTATTATAGAAACCAAGATGTGAACAAATCATTTTATGGGAAAAAAGAAAAGGTATTACTTGAACAGATAAAATTACTTCAGAACCCAAAATAAAAGACAACTTAAATCAACCTTCAGATAAAGCAAAAGACCACTTAAATTAACCTTCAGATAAAGCAAAAGATATACAAACAAGAAAAGCAGATCGAGTATAAAAGGCAATTCCAATGGTAAAGAAATCAATGGATACCTTTATAAAGAAATACATATGTGAGGATTGGATCCCAATAAAGAAGAAGTTTGATAAGGTTACATTATACATAAGCAAAAAATTACTGGAGTAATTTTTTTTTTTTTAAAAAAAAAAAAACCTTTTAATTAATTATTTATTAGTAAATTTATTTTACTTTACTTTTATTTTTCCTTTATTTTTCTTTCTAGTTTAATTTTGGTTTATAGTATAGTATTTTGGTTTAATTATTTTGGTTTACTTTTATTATTTAATTTTATTCTTAATTTATTTGTGATATAATAG